GGGGGGGGGTGCTTTATTTGAGAGTATCGTTGCTAGTCCGCGGTGTATGGTAAATGTCGACAACCCGAGAACGTCCGTCCCTACGCATGTTGATCCGTCAGAAGGACATAATCTCATTCCTCATTCCTCATTTCCTGGTCTTCTATTTATTACCTAACACAAACCACTCCAACTGGGCGCAGACCGAGGAACGGGACAGGACGGGACAGGACAGGCCAGGCCAACCCCGAACCTAACCTGACCTGACCAGCCAAATGCGCCGTACATGTATTGGGACACGTTGCGCCCATGAGAGGGGATAGAAGGCCGGGGTTTGGTATGCCGATGGCGATGGCGATGTGCGTTAGCTTTGTGTCTGTGGGTATCGAGGGATTGGTGAGTTCTTGAGCTAAGCATACCGGGAGTGAATTGAGCGTCGAGCGTTGAGGAAGGGTAAGGGATCGGTCTTTTCAGATAGGAGGGGCTTGGGGACGGTCGTAAGACAGTGAGAGAGTGAGTCAGAGGACCAACATGCTGGGAAGGGTTTGGAGCTCCTGGCATGGAAGCTAGAGCTAGAAAGACAGGAAGTGGGAGACAAGGCGTGAGAAGGGGACGTTACGTGTGCACGCACGCGCCGGACCGCGTGTCGGTGTTGAAGGAAGATATCCGGAGAATGAACGGCAAGAAGAACGAGTACGAACCCGAACCCGGCGGGTGAACGGCCGCGAGCTTGAGCAACTGGGGAATCGTGCTGCTTGCTGGGAAGGGGAGTGCGAAGTGGGATATACTGAGGGTTACGTAGGGAGGCGAGCGCTGCGCGCTGGATGAGGAGAGTGCAGAGTGCAGAGTGCAGAGTGCAGAGGGTAGGGTAAGGCGGATCGCTGGATGCAGAGGGATGTGCAGCCAAGAACCCGGAGGATGGATGAGATCTGGTTTCCGACCGAGCGGCATACGGTGAGCATGAGGAGCATGAGGAGGAGGAGGGAGGATATCCTGAGAAGAGAGAGAGCGAAGTGCGAGCGGGTTGGGGAGTAAGAAAGGGATAACTTGTGTGCGGAAGGAAATTCGGATTCCTAACCGAGCGGCATACGATCAGAGGCAGCGACAGCAATCATCAGCCGGAGATAAGGCAGTAACGGTGCGCGAGCGCGCGGGTTTGCAGAATATTGGCGATAGGCGCTCACCACCAGAACCCGATCCGCATCTCGGAAAAGACTATAACCGAAGGAAGAGGACGCGTGAGGCTACTGTGTGCGGCACACGAGGAAGGGAGCCTTAGAGCTTGAGGTGGTATAGTAGGGAAGGGTTGAACGCTGATGGCGGAGGGGACAGCGGCAGGAGGGAAAGTAAGGCCGGATTAGCACGATTGTTAGCGCCCAGTAACAGAACCCGATAAGATCCGGAAGAGTAGACAACAGGTGCACGGGAAGTAGCCCACAGCCAGCAATTATCAATTAGAAAGTAGCAATTAGCAGCCAGTGCAGGCACGAGGCACGGGAAACGATGTTTTTGCAGGCTGTACGATTTAAGGGAAGAGGGTATAAGATCTCCGACCCGCGGTGTGAGAGGATTGGACGAAGCGCATTCATGGCCCATTTGATAAGGTGCCCGTGTCCGAGGGGGGATGTGCGATGACCAATATTGGGAGTAGTATGGGTGTTGATGTGGGCCGGGGGTTGAACGATGAATGCTCGGGTTTGTGAGTGGTTGTGGGATGAATGGTTGTTGGATGACTCGAGTACTGCGGAATAAAGTGGCTGTGCAATTACTGCCACCGGAAATAGACAGTGCACCGCCTCGAGTGGACGATACTCTCACTCCTGTAAGACATCTCCCTCGTGGTTTTACACTGTTGATTGGAGGTAATTCCGGTCTATTTGGGTTATATAACACCGTACAGTGCTATAGAGGTTAGTGTAAGGGTGTGAACAGGTGTGAGAGGTGAGTGGTTATCCCCTCTCACAGGCGTAGTACTTACAGTATAGCAGTGTCTAACTCACCACCACTCACCACTCACCACCCTTCACTCTTACATCCACACCGCATCTCCCTCCTCACCCCTCCTCTCCCTCCTTCACCACCCACCCCACCCGACCCCATGGCATCCTCCGTCGCATCCCACTCCCGCCAAATATCCCAAACTTCATTCACAACAACCTCATCCACAGGTCAATACGACGACTACCTCACAGTACCTCAACAATACGACTACGCATCCGAGTCCTCATACGGTTATTCCTCTCCAGGGGACTCTCCTTCCCCAGCAGCGGACAACTCCCCCGACCAGCCATTCCTCGAAGGCGCTGTATCCGTCCGCAGGAGCTTGAGCGCTTCTTCTGCCCAGACGGGGAGGAGAGCGAGACACGTTTCCCAGGCATGTGATACTTGCAAGCTGAAGAAGACGAAGTGTGATGGGGGAAACCCTTGCACTTGGTGCGAGAAGAATAATTGGAAATGTACGACTACGAGTAAGGATAATCGCAAGACGCCGAGTAAGGCTTATGTCCAGAGCTTGGAGAGGGAAGCGGCGAATTTGAAGCATCGGGCAGAGGCGAGCGCGCGGTTGGCGGAGGGGTTGAAGCAGAAGAATATCGCGCTGGAGGAAAAGTTGCGCAATGCGGGATTGTGGGATGGGTTAGGGACAGAGGGGAAGCTGACGATCATGATTCCCCCTGCTACTGCTGCTCCTAGGCAGGAAGGGGAAGACGCAGAGTTACTAGGCATGGGGGAGAAGCTCGTTCGTGATCGATCTGGCTCTCTTACCGCTTACGCCGGTCCGTCCCCCTTGGCGCATCTAGCGACATCCCCCCCGCCCGGCATGCCCTCCCCTCCCCTCCCAGACCCCCAGCAGCCCAAACTCGGGTGGAGCAGTATAACCCTCTCCCCCGAAATACAAGTTCAAGCCACGCGCAACTTCTTCTCCTTATCAGGGACAGAGTACCTCCCTCTCGCCGCCCAAACCCTGCACATGCTCGAATGGGGCCTCTCTCCCTCTTCCCCCGGTGTCGGTGTGCAAGGCCCCCTCACACCAGCATACTACAATTCCTTCATGGCGAACGCCCTTCTCTTCCTACCCCCACACACTGTCCTCCCCAGCGCGAAACACCAGTTTGCGGCCGCGAGCCAGCACCCGCCCATCTTCCAACACCAGTCTCTGGGGAACGTGCTCTCCCTTGGCTTGCTGGCGCAGTTCTCGGCTCAGGAAGGGGAGTACGACCTTGGCTGGCAGTATGCGGGTATGGCCAGCCGGATGATGCAGTCACTTGGCCTGCACCTGGATTTCGACAGGAAGGAAAAAGATTTCGCTTGGGCCTCGCTTTCGACGCAGGAAAAGCAATTGAGGAACATCGTCTACTGGATCGTATACATTCAGGACAAACTGTGGTACCTCTGGGTAGGACGAACCACTGCTGTGCAGGATAACCCGCGTATCCCCCTGCCTGAAGTAGAGGGGGAGAACAACGAGCCCATGTTGGTCTTCCGCGCGCTGTGTCAGCTTATGCGCACAGCGGGGTGTATAATGCCTGACGTATACGGCCCTGACCTCAGTACAGTGGCAATTGACGCCCACCGGCTTGCTCTAGACGCGTGGCTTAACAGACTCCCGGACTTACTGAAGCCAACACCGAAAGCGATGGACACTGCCTCCATAAGCCTCAGGCAACTGCATATGACCTATCACTGGCTGAGGGTCTTGCTTGATCGGCCGTATTATAAACCGATCACCCATCAACTGGCGCAGGAAACGGGGGTTGGGAGGACGGATGCTAGCTTGAGGCAGATCATGGTTTTGCTTGGACCTTGGGATTCGAAGGTTCAGGTGAACAAGAGCTTGCAAGCTGCTGCTGCTCCTGGCGCTGCTGTACCCGCTCCACTCCCTTTAACGCCACTGCTAGCGCAAATCGTGCTCACCACCGGCATCACATGGCTGCACAGCGCCGTCTCCTTCCACAAATTCAGCCCAAAGCGAAAAGCAGAAGGAGTAGAGAAAGCCAGAGTTTGTTTGAGGGTGTTGCACGAAGCTGGCCAGAGGGCGTTTGGGGGGATGTTGAGGAGGTTGATGAGGCGGTATTTTAGTAGTGTTGAGATCTCGGACCGGGAGGGGCTGGGGATCCACCTTCGTCCAGTTCCGGGGTTACTCCCCCCCGGGGGGATAACGGTGCCTGTGCTGCCACAAGTACAGATGTCACCTCCGGAAGAAAGTTTCCCAACTTCCTCCACTCCGGGCCAAACGCTCTTCACACAAGAACCGGGCTCGTTCGACCCTTCTCCCTCGAGCACGTCGCTGCCATCACTGCCAGCTCACACTCTCTCCTTCCCCCCTGACTTGCTCTCCCCACCTCAATACTCCCCTTCCCCCAACTCTGCGAGCCCGATCCCCAGTGGTAGTGTGCTCCATACGCCGCTGTCGGGGTATGCGCAGCTCCAAGGCCAGGGGCAGGGGATGGGGCAGGGGCAAGGACTGGGGATGGGGCAGGGGCAGGGACAGGGGCTGGGGTGGACAGGGGACGCGAACAGTAGGATGATGCGGTTTATGCATGAGTATATGAGTGGGAGCTTGAGTGGCCATGGCTCAGGCGCACCGGGGGGCGCGGGGGCGGGTGGGGGGCCGGGAGTGGGGGAGGAGGCTGGGGCAGGGGAGGAAGGAGAGGGGATGGGGATGGGGATGGGGGGGATGAACCCTTATGTTCCGGAATGGGTGCAGCAGCAGCAGTTGCAGCATGCGAATGCGAATGCCCACGCCCACGCACATGCGAATGCGAATGCGCAGGGCCAACAAGCGCAAGGACAAGGCCAACAAGCGCAAGGACAGGCGCAAGGGCAAACGCAGGGGCAAGGGCAGGAGCAGCAATCCGGACAAGAAGGCGAACCGATCAACTACAGCGTTTTCCAAGAACCTGAAGACTACAGTATGGACGGCATCACCCCCGAGCATATGGGGATAGGGATGAACATGCCTATGGGCCTAGGTCCGGGGATGAGCGGGATGGACCTGGGCATGGGCATGGGCGTCGGTATGGAGGGGATAGGCGGGATGGACATGTTAGATCCAGCGAGCGCAGAGTTCAGGCAGCATTATGGGCAGAAGACGATCGTCCCTGACCGGCTTGATCGGCTGGATCGGCTTGATCGGCCTCAGAGGGGGAGGAGTCCGTGGGATCTGAGCGCTTAGAGCGGGGGAGGAGTCCTTGGGATTTGAGTGTTTAGCGCTTAGAGCGGGGCGCCTGGAGCGGGGTGCCTAGAGTGGGGCACCTAGAGCGGGGGAGCGCGGTGGGGTGGGGGAGAGCAGGGGGGTGGTGGGGGAGGCGGGGCAGGGGGGGAGGCGGGGCAGGGGGGGAGGCGGGGAAGGGGGGGGAGTGTTCTGGTGATATACCGGTTTCCGTTTTTGTTTTTTTTATTTCTCTTGCCTTGTCTTGCGTGGTTTGCTCTTGTGTTTGGCAGTCTTTTATACCCTCTCCCCGATCCCCTAACCACTTTTCCTTTCCTGTCCCATCCCATCCCATCCCATTGCCATCCCCTCCCCTCCCATTGCCATGTTTACCTTTCCATCCCATTGCCCTCCTTTTTTCCTTTCCAAATCCCCGTGCATACCCTGTAACTTACTGCTTTCCGAAAGTCCACGCTGATATCGTGACTTGTGTGATCTCTTTTTCTCTTATCTGTGTTATCTCTTGTCTCTTGTGTCTTGCCTCGGTACGGCTTTTGCGTGCAATAAAGGTGGATGTTATACCCGAAATTATAAGGATTTGGAATCTGGTCTTGCCGGTCTTGCGGATGCGTGGGAAGATGGATGGTTGTGCCTAAATGCGTGATGCGAGAACTGAATTGCACCCCCCAATCGCCTTTGCCCCTCCCCTCCCACCCCATCGCTGTCCTTTCCTTCCCTTCCCTTTCCTAAATCCCTCGTGCATACCCTGTAACTTACTGCCTGCTCCCGAAAGTCCAACGCTGATCTCGTGACTTGTCCGATCTCTCTCTCTTACATATCTGTGTTAGTTCTTGTCTCTTGTCTCTCACCTCGGTACGGCTTTTGCGTACAATAAGGGTGGATGTTATACCCGAAAGTATAAAGTCTGTGAATCTTGTGCAGGTTAGGTGTGGGAAGATTGGATGGCTGTGCCCAAACATATGACACAGGGTCGGGTATACGTTTACTCCCATCCATCCATTGATTTCTATTTCTGTGACGCACGAGAATATCGGTCCAGATCCTAATACCTGTCAACTGTCACGAGGAGCGTCGGGTATTACCTCGGGTGATATATACTGAACTTGACTGATTCTCACAAAAGGCGTCGAGGCGTCGAACGAGCCTGGGAGCCCGCGGCTTGTCCCCAGCTCAGTCGCAGTGTATAAGATGCGAAGCTGCATCCAGTTAGCGTCGGGTGTTACCTCGGCTCACATACTGTATGCTGAACTTGACTGGTTCTCACGAGAGGCGTCGAGGCTTCGAACCAGCCTGGGAGGCCGCGGCATGTCCCCAGCTCAGTCGCAGCGTATAAGATGGGAAGCTGGATGTAGTTGAGAAAGACGTTTGCTGGAAAGGAATGACTGCGGAGCACGGGACGAAGTATTTGTTGATCCATGATGGACCTGAGGCGGAACGGTACGCTCTTGCCTGCCAGTGCTCAGTCCAGGACTATACATGTTCTGACCCCGAGCTAGGCTCAATCGGCAACATGAGCGCCTAGAAGCACTCTTCGATCACCGACTTTTGCCTGAGGGGCTTGAGCTGAAAGCGGATGATAGAATGCTCGACTCGGGTACTGGGACTGGTACGTCCCGCTCCTGAGCGACGGGCGTTGTTCACGTCTTCGTAGGCATTTGGGTCTGCGAGGTCGCCTCGATGCCTACTGTACCGGAGACAGTACACATAGACGGGATCGACATCACCTCGCATCTTTTCCCGATCTCGTTTCCCCCCAACGTGCACTTCTCGATCGAGAACATCCTCCACCTGCCAGAGTCGGCTTATTCCAAGTATGCACTCGTACATCAACGGTTCCTTGCCGCTGCGTTCAACGGGATCGGATCGTCTGCTTAAAGAACCTCTTCGCCGCACTTCGGCCCGGTGGATGGCTGAAGATGGAGGAGGTCCGCGCTCGGATACCAGAGACACTCCCTCACTCGCAGCGGCTCATGAAACTCAGCCTGGAAGTTGAGCACGTTCGAGGCATCGACTTTGCCGCTGTGGACCATTTTGATACCTGGCTAAAGGAAGTGGGATTCGAGCAGGTGCAGGTGGAGACGAAACCTTGGATGCTAGGACCGGGAGAGACGTGGAAAGAGAATCGGGAGCTATTACTTGGGGCTTGGAGGGCCATCCGACTGGGGACGATGAAAGCGGGTGGGTCATACGAGTCCAATGCTTTCGATCACGCGCTGATTGTTGCAGGCCATTCTTTCGGTATCAGCGAGGAGGAATGGGAACGGTTCATTCGCGACCTTACACAGGAGCTGGAGGAGAATGAGGCCAGAATGACGATCTTCAGCTTCACGGCTCGCAAGCCGGTGCATTGAGATAAAGCGAACGCTAAATCCAATCATTTGAACGATGCGCGAACTGTGGTTCCCTTCCATGGATAAAAAGAGATCTCACCGACCAACTTGCTACCCTCCCACCTACACCCATTCAGTTCCCCTGCCCCGACAGATCCGGAACTCTTCTCAGAGGCCCTCAAGCCGAGTGCCGCTTGCCCGAGTCCCCGACCTCCTGCGCTGATGCCGACGTTACCAGGGAACTCCACGGGCCTGTTGACCTATTGGCCGCTCCGGTCCATTCGACAATCTCCGGACAAGTTGACCATTTCTGGCAACATTTGTTGCGGTCAAAGTGTGCCGTAAACGGTCACAAGCTATTCTTGTCAAGCACGCGGTGGATCCGACGATACGCCGTCCCATCGCGTTAACTTCGATGATCTCTGATGGCGGAGATAGCAAGCGCCATATCATTCGGGAAAGGATGGCTTCTGCCCTTCTATAACTGCAGACAGTTAACAATGAGCATCATCGTTCTCCCTTTGCGCTGTGAACCTTTCCGCCTGCAAGATGACTGCCAAGGGGAACATCACAAAATATGCCCTCGTGTCTGACGATTCGGAATCGCACAGGTACTCCAGTTCCTCCTGAACGGCAAATCAGTCTAACCGATCCTCGGTTCTCAGGCTGAACAAGCAACACGAAACAGCTAAGAGTATCCTTCACGGGCGATTGCTCCCCGATGGTCTGGATTTGCAGGATGGCGATCTTGTGTTGGATTCGGGCACAGGCACAGGTGCGTCCATGTAGCCGATATTGGCGGGATCCTGCTAAACAAAGACAGGCATCTGGGCAATCGACGTTGCATCTGATCTGCCGAAGAGTGTCCAAATACATGGCATCGACATCACCCCACGCCTCTTCCCCGCTTCTCCTCCGTCAAACATACAGTTCTCCGTGGAGAACATCTTGACGCTTCCTGAATCATACCATGGAAAGTATGCCTTGGTTCATCAGCGCTTTCTTACGGCGGCGTTTGGGGGAGAAGAGTGGAAGACCTGCATCAAGAATGTCTATGCAGCTCTCCGACCAGGCGGCTGTTTGAAATTGGAAGAGATCCATGGCTACCTCCACCCTGATACATTGCCCTGTATGCCTCAGGTGCAGGCGTTCACCAAGCACCTCGAAAAGCTAAGGGGGATCGACTTCCAGGCTGTCCCGAAGATCCACGTTTGGCTATTGGAGGAAGGATTTGAGAGTGTGGTGATCGAGCCGAAGAGGTGGTTCTATGGCCCCGGGAAACCCCATGAGCATGTCCGGGATAACCTGCTGGTTGCATGGGGAGCTGTGAGGCGGGCCACAAAGCAAGCTGGTATGTCAGTTCTGTTCTCGAATCAATAGATTGGCTAATTTTGAGAGGGCAGCGACGGACTGGGGAATGACGGACGAGGAGTGGGACGAGTTTATTGCTCATGTCGACAGAGATCTCAAAGAGAACGAGTCGTATTCAATAGTATACAGCTTCACTGCACGGAAGCCTCCCATTTAGGGTTAAAGGCCGAGAAGAGCTAATGGCGTGTCGGTATCGATACAAGGCTACAATATCTTCTTTGCGCTTCAATGACGTGCGATTCCCGGCTTACGAGCAGTGACAATGTGCAGGTTCCAGCCGACGTCGTTCTCCTCCAGCTCCTTGCTTAGATTCGCCATTAACGATTCGAAGTCTGCATCGGTCATTGCGCCAGGATGGCCTAGTGGAGCTACTCGTCAACACGGATCATGAGTATAGGGGGATAACATACCTTTCATGCTGTCCCGTATATACAGCCAGATATTAGTAAAATTGGCCCGCATCCCCCTGTACTCGTCGCCGGGGCCCATACGAAGAGGCGCCTTCCTGTGGACTATGTCACTGAAGCCAGCCTCCTTCATTATTTTTTTCGGCAGCCTCGAGATCTACATCCCTGAACTTGGCGAATTTCCCGGCGTAATCCAGCAGCTGATGGCTGTAAGGCAGCTTTTGGGCGGAGACGTTCGTAGGGCACAATGTGGCACTAAATTCTTCCACCCTGACCCAGCCCTTCGGGAGCAGTGCACGATGCATTTGATCGAAGACGATCCTCCAGTCGGCAAACGACAGAGCGGCGCTCAGGAACCGCTGGTGAATAAACCGGAAACGCTCGGTCCAGGCGGGAGGGAGGACCATGATTGAGTGGACGACAAAGTTGACGTTTGGTGACGGGCTGGCCGGAAAGAATCGAGAATTGATGTCGATGCCTGTGATGAAGACGTACGTCTGTGGGTTGAGCGTCGAGTGTAGCTCGAGTGCCCATGCACCTACAAAGGAAAGGATCAAGATGAGTTCTGGAATGACTGGCAGATGAAACACGCACCGGTACCCGCTCCTGAATCGAGGACATGATAATTTTTTCGCAGCTTGAGATCCTCCGGAAGAAGAGGACCAACAAGGTCCTGGATGATCCTGTGCTGTTTATCTAGTCTGAACCAGCGTTATGAGTTGACGGGGCGGCAGCAGATGAAGGCCAACCGGTCGCTCTCACGTGTATCCGCATTACCCAGTAGATACTTCGTCTCTTCATCAGTCCCATGGGAGGACATGACTGGATCCAAGACCTGTGCCTCCATCCTCAGAGGGGAAGAGATATCACTTGGTCGAGGTCGCAGCACGCGCCAGGGCTTGAGAGCCCTCCAGTACGCTCACGGCAGAGCGTGCAGCCAAACAGACACGATCCTGACCCTCCCACCACGGCCAGTCCTGAGATAGGAATAGCGTGCACGCTGTTACTTGATGAGTTGTCCTGATATGGCCTTCAAAAATGAAGTTGGGAGGAAACCCTCAGTCAGCATTCTGTATTCTTCCGCTTTCGTCGGGTATACAATACAGTAGCGAATATTGTGAGACATAACAACATGGTATTTAATTGAGATAGGTGAACGGGGCTCCGCAAGGTGCATACGGTACCAAGGCACGCAGGCTCAAGGCGCACATAAATATATCCTCGCGATGCACGTAAGCTTCCCTACTTCCGTTTCTTCAACAATACTTTCGCTCCTTTGGCCTGTATGGCAACCCCAATCTTCCAGCTTAGCATCTGCCGCATGCGTTCTTCCACCGGTAAAGCCTCCATCTCCGGCGTCAGGCAGATCTCATATTCCCGCACAAGGAGGGACAGAATAAGCATCCCCTCTAGCGTTGCGAACCGGGCGCCTATGCACGCGCGTGCTCCCAGGGAGAAGGGCATGACTGGGGCACGTTAGTTCGCTCTGCCACAAAACTCAAGTGAGGACTCACAAGCGTCTCGGGGCCACTTATACTCTGCTGTATCGAGGAACCTGTCTGGCCTGAACTCTTCCGCATCCTCGCCCCACCACATTTTCATCCTATGCACTGCCCAGATGTCGATCCAAAAGACCGTCCCCTTGGGAACGGGCATATCATACTTCTCCCCGGTCTTGAGATATGTTCCTCTTAGCACCGTATCTCTTGCAACGCGTTTCGTGATCCGCACTTCGGCAGGGAAAAGACGCAGAGTCTCGCGGAAAGTCGCTTCGGCGTATTTCAGGCGGGGCATGTCTTCCCTATAGCTCTGGAAGGCGATTTCAGAGGAGAGCGAAGAGACGGAAGGCCAGACGGAATCCGCTTCCTCCCGCAGCTTGGCCTGCACGGACGGGTTGAGAGCGAGTAGAGCGCAGGCAAAGGCGAGCGTGTTGGCTGTCGTCTCATGTCCGGCGAGGAGGAAGACCTGCACCGCATGAACATCAGTATCCCCTGCTGGGAGAAGTGGAACAACGCACGTATGTCGTGCTCAAGAGCTCGTCATCATTCAGCTTACTCCCATCTCCCTCATCCTCGTTCGCCCGAATAAGCCTCTTGAACAGATCCGCCTCCCCGCCCTCGCCCTTCGCCCGCCCTCGCTCTTCCTCTCCTTCCTCAGCCATCTGCGCCCGAGTCTCCTCGACCATCCCCCGGAGATAGCCATGCAAGTCCGCATACGCAGTTTTCGTATCTTCCAGCGCACGAAAGGGGAGGGGCTTGAGCAGCGGATACTGCGTAAGCAGGGTCTGGAACTTCATGTTGCTCACAGAGGTAAGGAGGGCGGAGACAAAAGGGTACGTAAAGCCTGGCGGGATGCGGGAAATCGCATCCTTCCCTGAGGAGGTGCTGGGTGCAGAGGCGGGGGCGGAGGCCACGGAGAGAGGGATGTACCGACCAAATCCGGCCGAGGTGATGATCAGCAGTGCGAGCTATCTGCGGTCAGTTTCCCCCACAGTACCAATAAGGCCAAACGTACTCGGGTCATATGCTCATGCGTGTCCACCTCTACACTCCCCCCGCTCTGCTGAACATCAAGCGCGTCAAACCACTCCTTCACGACCCGAATGCTCTCCCTCCACACGAGCTGGTTATTCCCCTCCCCAAAAGCGGCTTTGGACGCATCCCGATGGCGCTTCCATTCCGCGCCTTCGGTGGAGACAAGGTTCGGCCCGTAGAAGCTTATCACGTGGTACTCCAAATATAGTTAGGCGCTGGTATAGATCAAACGAGGAGCAGGGACGCACAAGCTCGGTCTGCTTGGGGAAGAGGTCGCGGTCGCCACCTACTACTTTGAGTGCGGCGGGGTCGCAGCACCAGACGTTGGGGTGGGGCCAGAACGCAGGCGTGGCGGCTATAATACTCACTCCTGCCTTTTCGTATGCTATTTGTAGGTGGGAAAATGGTCAGCGTTGTTTGTCAATGAAGGAGGTGACATACGGAGTCCTTGTGCTCTGTAGTCACCCACGTCCCATTGCGGATAGTGTCGCAACGCAGGAGCAAGGAAGAACTGCGGATGTGTCCACTGGAGATGGACGCCGGAAGGTACATTGGGGAAGAGAGCGAGCACCTGGCGGAGGGAGAGAAAGCGGGAGAACAGGACGTAGCAGAGATAGCCTAGGAAGAGAGCGAGAGCGGCGTCGGTGAGCATGGTGGTGGTTGACAGCAAGATGGTGACTTGCTGGCTTCCTCCCTACTTGGTTCTCATGCCATAACACTTTCCCGGTCAGGAGAAATGTGGTGTGTTCATACAGGACATCCCCTCGAGGGCACGTGATTGGTGGACAGGAAATGGGTCGACTGAAGCATATCGGTCCCTTCTCTTTGAGTCACAGCATCACGAAACATTTTGTATTCCATCCCGGGCTGCTGATGGCGCGTTACAATACCTAGCCTGACCAATGGCCGATCAACGGGCTGAGTGTTGCTCATTCAGTTTTGATTTACTGTGTGATGAACACACAAGCACAGGGAAACTCTCGATCGAAGTTTGAGATACAGGGTGACTGCGTGACATGAATAGAAGGCCACGGCCAAGAACCGGTCAGCACTGGTACGACCGGTTTATGATGTCGATAGACATAATTCTCAGCGTGACGGACGACCTTCTCTCTTTGCTGCAAGATATCGTTAGACAACATGTCGAAAACGTCGGACTGTCTGGAACGGTGACCGAGAGTAAGGCACGAGTGGTCACTTGGATGTCGGATGACAACTGCGCAACGGGTCCCATGACGATATCGGAAGTCCCCGAAGAAGTCTGTGCAGAAGTCTTTACAATACTGTGGGCAATAGAATCCCGACCCTCACTGTTCACTAATTTCGTTTGAGCCTAGTGAACCAGTTGTGAAATCCGCGAAGTTGATCAAAGATGCGAGAAGTACATGCACAAGCGTGGAGCATCGTCCGACGTTGATATTGAGGAACTTCGGATCCGATGTGTGGGAATGTCAACTAAATCCCGCACATTTGTTATGTTAGGTAACATCATAGGTATCAGCATTTGCCCAATCTGTGCAAGCTGAATGAATCAACCGCTTATTCTGGCCTGCTTTCAAAACCACAAGCGGGGAGCCGAGACGACTGACCGCTACCGTGCTGTACAAAACACATTTTATTCTTCAATTCATCTCCAAACAATTTATACAGGATGCTCTCTCATTGAAGAATCTACGGCCTCCCACCAACAGACAGCGTGCCCGCAGTCGTATCTTTCACAGCCTTGAGTTCCTCCATAATCGCGAGCCACTTGAGCATCCTCGGGCTCAAAATCTCTCCTTCCGGGGTCGCCTTCAGGTCCGACAGGAGAGGGAAGAGGAAGAAATCCGCCCAGGTCACTTTCCACCCGTAGACATAGCCTTCGGGAGCCATAAGCGCCTCCATACGTGCAAGGAAGAGCTTAAGGTTGGCTACTCCGTGTTTGATGTGCTCCCTGAGTTCGGCATCGCTGGGCTTGCCGTCGTCAATCGCTTGAACGCGGTGCTTGACCACCTTGATCTCGACGGCCGGGAAACCTGCTACACTTCAGCATCGTGATGCAAGGAGACTAAGCTCCGAACGCACCCTGAGACCCAGCCAAACTGACAAACTCCCACATCTTCTCCGGCACCGCGATCCCTGCCTCGCCGGGTTCCAAGTCGAGAGACGGCAACGGTGCCACACGGTCAATGTACCTCGCAATTGCTTGGCTCTCGCAGAGGTAGATATCGCTGTTCCCAATCCCGTGAATAATCAGAGTCGGCAGCATCCCAAAGGGATGGTTCTTGTATGCGACATCGGAATGCGGTGTGGTAGCGACTTGCTTATACGGGATGTCTTTGTGCTATGTCAATGAGATATTAGCGATTGACACCGATGCAAATAAGAGTGCATGCCTGCAGACCAAGAGTGATACTCCGGGTGAAGGTAGAGAACGGCGTTCCGACAATCGTGTAGGACGGCATGCTGGTCGTTGAGGGCGGTTCAAGAGCAGAGCGGTGCAACGTGGAAGCATCGTTCATCGCTCCGCTCTAATCCATCTTATCCAGATCGGAGAGTCTCGTGTGCTGGCCAAGGACAGCGTTCGCTATGAGCCGCGGGAAGGTTGTTGATGGACATATGGTTCGCCAGCGAGTTATTTTCTACCAAGGGACCGCGTGGGAGTGGGGTTGCGGTCAGAAGCGCCCGTTGGTCAGGATGATGTCCGAAGTTGTATGTCCCCGCCAGATATTGTCGCGTCACAAGGTGTAACAATCAATGGTCTTCTCCTTTCTTCTCGCGTGATCATTAATTAATTCTGCCGCCAATGCGCAACTTCGCTTGCGGATCGAACGAACGTTCGACAATATGGTAGGGGTTGAACACATGGACAGCAACCATGCTGCAATTTTGCTACATTCCAACCGACCCAACAAGAATACCGTTACTTTATAACCCCAAAGGGGAAGTACTACTTCCATTTCGGGCATAGACGACAATGGTCACACCTAATACACCTTGCCGGGTGCAAGTCGGCTGTATGGGCACGACGCTGGAATATTCTCGTCCAAGAGAAAATATTGCTTGGACTCGCGGGATCCTGGGTCTCCGTAGTTCTTCAGCTCCGGGCTGACGGGAATCGGATCGTATTTGGCAAGCAGTGCCCGCACCTTCGCCAAGGCCCCAGCCCGCTTCGCATCGGAACTGAAAAGAATGTCGAAGATCCATTTCGGCTGGAAGACGATCGTCAACCCCTTCGCATAGCGGGAACGGCGGATTTCGTGCGCGGGCGTTTGGATCACCGTGAAGAACGGCTCCCCGCCAAAGCACAGGCACCAGCGATCGTTGTCGATGTCACGGGGAATGGTAGACGGCCAAGGCACCGTGTCGTACTCGGCGACCCCGTTCAGGAGTTTCCAGAACGCATCATTGTATTCGGTCATGCTGCGCGGATTTGTTGTCTCTTTGGCGAGAAGGACGAGAGACGTGTTGGGCCCCAAGGCTCGGGCCCTTGGAAGGTAGTACTGGAGGGCGTTAGCAAGGACACGGATGTGATTTCGATCGGACAGGTCGTCGGTGTCGATGAACAAGTAGAGTTGATCGTTTGACTTGAAGCCCTTTGTGGCATAAACACAGGGAAAAACGTCGTCTTCATTTAGAAGCACAGAAACATAGTTGTCATAAGCCGATCGTTGCCATGTTCCCGGCTTGTGCACGGAGGTTACGTCCAAGCTGAACGGCTTTTTCAGATGTGGGCACAAATGAGGGTAGGATGTAGCAATACCTTGTCAGCGGCTTTTCCGAAGGATGGAACTCGTAGTAAAGAGAGAGGCGCAAGTCCTGCGTCGCCAGTCATGACGTGGTTGGGAAGAGTCTCGCAAAAAACGTTACCTTTGAAAGAGCTGTGGCAGACTTGGAAAGGCGGATGATCTGGGCTTCAATGGAGCTCCTGTACATAGCGAAGAGGGCGCCACTAAGGAAGGTAGCCAGGTAGGTGACGAGTTGCGTGAATTCAAACATCGTGGCTTTTACTGACGTAAGAATGTGGTGGTGAGTGAGCCAAGTTGGTCCTTGCTCATGCAGGGTACAGATTGGCCAACATAGCTCTGTTTTTATATGCGCTAGAGCCTCTGGTAGAAGTTATGCCTGGACTCCAAGTCCCAACGAACGTTTCCTAATTGTCCAGTTAGGTGCCGCCAAAACGCCTCGGAGCCATCACATGCCTTTTGTAGTAACAGTGGTCGATGGCGCCCATGAAAACTGTGTGGGGTGCGTGCCAGCCAAGTCCGTTTTCGCCGTGCTCAACGGCAAGCAACGTGACATTACCACCATGTTGTCTTCACCGGCGTAGGGCCTGAAACGTGATCATTCGGGCGAGATGAAGTCCGAGACATCGCACGCTAACGTGACACAAGATGGCGCAGTGCAAGCTGCGGTATGCGGGCAACAGGCTAAAATGATTTGAGCAGGACAAGATGGGTGTAGACAGATGACTGCAGGGGCCAGATTGAACGGCCTCTGAGAAGGATCGGAGGTAGAAAGAACGGCTCCATCGTGCAGCTTCAGTTCCCGTCCAACTTTGAGGGTAGTTATTTGTGCCGCGGACTTGGGGGCCGCAGGGACAAGAAGCCAATGCTAACAGACTATCAGGGGACAAACAAGAATGAAGGACTTCGATTCCGCCCGTCTGTACAGCACCGCGCGGAAGCAATCACGTCATTTTCCGAGATCTCCTCGACCCCGAGATGCCAAGACGCTGGCAATTGCTCAGCTGCTCTCCTAACTCCAGGTCAGCCGGACATGTCCATGCACACCACTGGATTGACTTGGTATCTTTCTTACTGCTTCTGTATTCATCTTCCTCCATTCGAATGCTATGCATCGCCGGCATGCTACTCCCAGGGCCAGCGCTAGCAATCCCATGCCCTGCCAGCTTGGCAGGTACTAAACGCCTCCAAATGGGCACCATCTGCAGTCTTTTGCTCGCGAGTTCGGAGTGGATGATGTCTCAGAAACCATATATCTTGTGTAGGCTTCCCGCAGCACTCTCGCTCGTTGCTAGCATGTTCGCGCACAAACGGACTGACTCGCCTGTCATCTGCCAACGATCTCGCTAGTCTCTACGCTGACAGTGGAAACCCACATACGGTCTGAGCTATTCCTCGACGGCACACGCCCATGCGGTGACCTCTTGCGACTGGACCCTCGCCGTGCCTCATTTGCGCTCGTCTGCGTTCGGGAAGTCAGCATCTGATTAGCAGTCAAAGGATCTTGCATTACCGGCTCTTGCTTCGCCGGATCGGTCTGAATAAGATTGGAAGGCAGCAGCGGATTCAGTGCTTTTCTTGGCTCGCTTACACGGTGATTGATCCTTCTCCACGAACATGAAAGACGGCTCGATATGGTGAAATCTTCGAATGTCGTCAAATTCCCTTTGTTCAGTGAAGCTCCCGCTGCTTCGGCGCATGAAAGCAATACAGTGATCGGACAGAAGCCAGCGAGAAGGAAATATTCCAGATGTCCTGTATCAGATGACTGGATGTCACAAAAATATGTCCAAGCTGCCACCAACACAATCACCGCGTTGCGCACCCTGTCTGAAGGGTTGGAGTTCCGGGGTGATTTCCCTCAACAGGCAAGTTTAGCGCGTAAACTGTTGGTGCGATTCCAAAGCAGCATGGTCCAATCGCCCGGAATTGTCGGCGGGTGGTGATTCCTCATGTATGGAGTACCGCGTTCCTGCTGAGGCTTCTTCTCGAAGACGCATATATGAGCCGGCTGACATCCCGCGTCTGTTCTTCCGTGGCCCGCTTGAAGCGCTCAACACCATGCTGCTTTGTACCGCTCTTGCCGTTCTCTCTCTCTTGGCGCAGGCTGCGGCGGCCGTCAAGCGCGATGTCGACACTACGCAATATTACGATCCTCTTGCGATTATGGCTGCGTCGGAGGCCAGTTCGAAGCTGCCAGCGGACCAACTCGAGTTCACGTTGTCCGGCGGCCAAGGGTGTGTCATTCTCCAGAGTCTGGGCCACGGGTGCACTGATGCGATGGGGCAGATACCCCAATCCGTACATGATGCAGAGGATTGGTACCACTGGGCCGGGCCTGATCCAGGACGTGAACTTGGTATTTGCAGCAAAGTCCTCATGTCCCGTGTCTAATACTCATGTGGTATGCTTCAGATCGAACATCTTGCCCACTTCGTCCGCGAGCGAGTGGTGAGCAGCCGTGCACTTATGCTGCTTCTGTGCCGTTTCTCAACCCAACCTACAGCCAGAACGCACGATTCATTCTAAAGGCGCCGGAGCTCATGGGTATTTCGAAGTGACCACTGACAATGGCTCCCTGTACACCATGGCGGATATGTTCATTGGAATTGGCAAGAAGACCCCCGTCACGATGCGTCTCTCAACCATTGCTGGGTTGTCTGGTCAATCTGATTCCGTGAGGGACTTGCGTGGGTTAGCCATGAAGTGAGTGGCAAGCTTCTTTCTGCCTGGCATGTCTAGGCTCACATGCCCCTCTTCATAGGTTCCGAACGTCGCAGGGAATACTCGATTGGGTGCGCACTGTCTTGGATCGTCCATGTCGTGTCTCATGCGGCGTTCTAGGTTTTTCTCAATCACCCGGTCTTTTGGCTGCGTGATCCTGCTAAATTCCCTCGCACGTGCCATCCCGATTTACTGGTGACAGTCTGACTGACCTTCCAAAGATTTCATCCACTCCCAGAAGCGGAATGTTTCGGTGCGTTGATGTTTCATTTGCGGTGAGAAGTCTTCTAAACCGCTGAGCCTTTCTAGACGCATTTGATCGACTACAACGTGAGAATCCTTCTTGTTACATTGCGATGTTGCTCATTGCGTCCCCTTATCCTTTTCTTTCCCACAGAACTTTTGGGGTACGCGCTTCGTTGTCAGAAACACGTGAGCTTTTTTTACTGAGCATATTCCTTCCAGATTACCTCTCCGCCAACAATGAGACGATCCATCAGGTGATGCGCACGTTCTCTGACCTTGGTAAGCCTTTTTGCGCTCGTCTTAGGATTACCCTGATTGTTGAACCTTTTAGGCACCCCGTATGGATTCAGGCACATGGATGGGTTTTCGGGGAACACGTTCCGGCTCGTGAAAGCTGACGGCACCTGGAACTACGCGAAGTCAGATTCGCTTCGCTCCCCCCGCAAGTCATTCATCTGACCATGATCTAGGTTCAATGTCATTTCAGACCAAGGAATTAAAAATAACACCCTGGCCGAGGCTACCACTATGTACGTGACTCGTTATCAGATATCCAGGGTCAATTGATGTCCCGTACCAGGTCTGGAGTGAACGCCGACTTTGGCATCCAGGACCTCTACGAGAATATTGCAGCAGGAAATTATCCCAGTTGGACTGTTTATTTCCAGGTTATGGACCCTCAAACGGCTATGAATTTCACCTGTCAGTTTTACGTGTCTTGTATGTTAGCGCTAACATGCTGATGAGATGTTTCTTAGATAATGTGTTCGATTTGACAAAGGGTAACCAAACTTTTGTGCCTCACTCGAGAATCCTGCTCACTTGTCTTCCAGAGTGGTATCCTGAGACCGTGCCGCGAATTGAGGTGGGACGCATCGTTCTCAACCAGAACCCGTAGGCACAGCGACTCTCTGTGCGCATCCCGTTGCTCACAGATTTCCTCTTCCAGAACGAACTATCACCAGGAGGTGGAGCAGATTGGATTTGATCCTGCCCAGATGGTATGTGGCGTGCAGCAAACAGAATTCCAACTCCTTCTGATTGCGCTCTAGCCTCCTGGAATCGAACCGAGTGAAGATCCTGCTCTCCAAGCTCGGATGTTCGCTTACGGAGGTAAGTGAAGATTGCAATGTCACGAAGCTTTGCAGCTGATATTTTAGATAGACGCTTCTCGCGCCCGCATCGGTATCAATCACAAGCAGCTTCCCATTAACTGCCCTCTGAACCCGGTTGGTATGTAAATATCTTTCTTACGTGACATGATACCTTGACGTTCGTACCCCGACAGCCAACTTCCTTCGCGATGGCGCTATGGCAATCAACAACCAGGGCAGTCGTCCGGATTACATGTCGACCATCCAGCCCATGAACCTCGAAGTTCGTCCTTACAACGATGACAACCATACGATCTGGGTCGGTGGTGCGGTAAAATACCTCAGTCAGCCTACGGAGATCGATTACGCCCAGCCCAGAATCTTTGTGAGTGGCACCTTTAACAGGCGTCAGGTACATCCTCTGACGGCTTCCTAGTGGAACAGCCTTTCCGATATGGACCAAGATCACCTGATCACCAACGTCGTCAGTCATCTCGGCATGGTCACCGATATGACCGTCAAATACCGACAGCTGTGGCATTTCAATCACGTGAATACTACCCTTGGGCAAGCTCTTGCCGCAGGCATGAACATGACGATCCCATGGCAGTGGACGTAGTCAAGTGTTGTTGGGCGCGCATTCTCCTGTCTTGGCTATTTCCAATTGGGCTTGGAGCCCCGGACTCTCATCTTTTCGAATTTCTTCTTGTGCCGTATTCATGTACGCGCAAACAACTTCTTCATTCTTAGACTTCTTCCCACCCAGTACTGTGTACTTGCGGACCACAAGTTAGCCCTTAGACTTCTTCGCTGTATTCACGTACATGCAAACAAAATTTGAACTCGTTACTATTGCATACATTGGGTTGTTGAGAAACACTAACCTGGGTTGCATAACAGAGATACACCTAGTACGTAAACCGTTCCCGTCGTACTACCTCTGGATCAACACCAGCAAACTCCAGCCCAGTCATGACAGACTGAATGAAAGGAAGCGGCCCACAAAGATGGCAGTCTCGCTGGGTCGCGTTCACTTCTTTGAAAAAATTCGGACTGGATTGCACACGGCCGGGATGTTCCGTGACTGGAATCCAACTCGGAAGGCAGTTATTCACTACAGCACAATGAGAGAACAGATGGACAGCGATCTTCAGATCAGTAGTGGGAGCATCATGGACTGAGGAAAGTGAGCGCCATATGAGGTGGAGGATGACATCGGGTTCCCGGGTCGATGCGACCAGGACGATATCCCACGCTCCCGAGCCAGGTGAGGCACGGACGAGCTGAGCAACTTGATCCAGCATGTTGAGAAAAGGGGTGATTCCTATTCCTCCTCCTGCCCAAAGCAGGCGTCGTCCGCCCCTGGCAGCGGGAACAGGGTCCCGGGCGTAATGGTCTGCACCAAGACTCCTTAGTTTGGCGGTGATGTTGTACGAACGGAGGTCTACGAATCCCGTCAGATCCGGGCCGTTCAACTTCCGGGCTACCTCGAATAGCGTATGCGTGGCGAGGCCAGCGGTGACTTCTCGGATCGTGATAGAGAAGACGTTTAGCGCGAGAGGAGAAGTAGGGATAGAGATCGTCCATGTCCTGACGCAGTCGTCGTTCTCCCGTCTTGGGTCGTCCACAAAAGGGATAAACGTGCGTGCCTGGTGCCGAATAAAGTCGGAGAGGTCGAAGACTGCGCTCTGAGCTGGAAGCACACGAAGCGGATGAGCAGCTTCGAACGTAAACGTGCCTAGGTTTGAAGTGTGGAGTGTGGCGCTGATCAGCTGGAGGTCGACGTCAGTCGGGATCGTCGCTGGGGCGTCTTCTTCCGCCAAATAGCGGATAGGAGGACAATAAGGGCTTTTCTCAACTTGTATGCCAGGGGCGAGCCGGACTGGTAGTGCATTCTGCACGAATACATACCCGGTTGCGGTGATAGTGGTGAGGATGTTGCAGCCGGGCATGAGTTCCTGAGCTGGTGCGCCCCATAAGGTCTTTGCATGACCTGTGAGGTAGAGGATGGAGCCGGAGACGAAGTCGGCGAATGTGAGCCCGGCGAGAGGGGTGACGTGGATGTTCCCCAGCGAGTTCAAGAGGCGGTTTCCTGTGATCAAGGTCAATATACGCCGCAGGTAAGTGAAGGTATCGTACCAGAATAGTTAGGCAGTACTAGCGTCCTTCCATCACTTGGCCGTACGCGGACAAACCCCACTCGACCACCCCGATGATTCGTACCAACATGAGATGGAAAGCGTTCTTCGTCTCCCGGGGCAGCGACATACGAGGTGGAGAGATACACCGTGTCGGAGCTGTATATGATGGAGATGGCTTCAGGAGGAAGACGATCGTTTGTGCTCATGTGGGGGTGGTTGTAGACCACCTTGGGCGATGTGTCTACATGAGAGGCGAGCGTGCGGATGTTGATGTACTTCGGACACTGTCTATTCGGATGTCAGAGAGGCTCGAGTTGGAGAAATAGGTGACACACCCCAGAGCCTCGTTCACATGCATCTCGAGGTGTAGACGCATATCCTCCAACGCAACTTCAATGACATGTCCCCCAAACTTGTTCCGCCTTCTCGTGCTCAACTCAACCCCTACACCAGACACGAGGACTTTCTCTCCGTCTTTCCTCCTCTGAGTGAGATTGTTCGCTATGGGATCCCCTGGCCAAAGCCCAGCATCGATGGTGAGCCTAGTCTCCGCTGAGCTGCTGATGAACCCAGTCGTGCCATCTGGAGCGGTAAGGATCGACGTCCAAGGCCGAGAGTCACAGTCCAGCGTCGTGACAGGTACGAAATGCAGTCTTGTAGAGTGAAATATCGCGTGCTGCTTAGGAAGCGCTTGGACGATCGCGGTGGGAGGGACGAGCTGAGGAAGTGCTAGCAGGCTTTGGACAGCGCGTTCGCCCGGATGCCAGCCGTTTGGCCTGGCGCCGATTGTAGATAACATCTATGTTCGAGTGTTTACCCAGTCTCGAGACCGTCTGGGACTAGCCACATTGACAGCATGCTGCTTGTGTTCGGTGAAGACGGTGCGCTGTTTGGCGAAAGGATGGTGTGACCAGAGTCCGAGGAATTCGCGTCCAACTTGCATAGCCAAACTCTTGTTCTGTCAGCCATCTTCTGTCGACCATCAACTTGCCTCATGCTTTCTCTGAATGGTGGGATATCAGCTTCTTATTTCATCTTGCTTGTTCTCTTGATGACTAGCAGACTGTTAGGATTATCCGGTCCAGCTTGATCTGATATCTACTCGCTGTTTTTCAGGTTGGGAGTCACATAAATATCTCACAATCACGCGTTTGATGACTGTGTTCCACCCAGCATGCAGGTGGCTCTCTTGCTGCATAGTGCTTTCTAAAGACTGTTGCATTTTCACACAACCAGCGAATAAGAAAACGATGCTCCGATACTGGATGTCATCACTTCGTATATACCGCCATTACCACGCACACGAACAGCGCAAGTTCACGTTCGGATGACTGGAGAAACATTCCACAATGGTCGAGTCGGCACCATGCTGCAGCGATCAGGCGTGAAAACAGCTCTACCTTCCCCAAGCAACCATCATCACTACTCTTGAGGAAAACTCCTTGCTCGGAGAATATTCCGTTCGCGTGTTTTTTCGGTCCAGGGGCGAATGACCATGGAAAGGATGTGCGTATGTTCCTACTAAGAATGGATCGGAGAAGACGGAGTCTTCGAGGGGATAAATCCAAGTAGCTACTCTATAACACCGGAGAAACTGAAAGTGATTGAGGTTGTTAGATGGTAAGACGGATGTCATTGGTAGACAAACAATTGAATCAAGACAGCATATCTCGAATCTGTGTTATCTTAATTCTCTCAGCCCTGAGCCCGATCACCTAGCACTTTTACTTTTATCAATGAAAGGAACAACTTTAACCGTTGTATTCACTGCCCATTCCGGGTCTTCCCGTCGACGCCTCGCTGTCCCTCTAACGTGTCACCCGAAACCGCCCGTGCGCCTGTCAATCCAGTGCGCATACACGTCTGGGCAGTCACCGCTGCAACAATCTTTAACCCCCCTCGACAGCTGCTCGTCGTCTACGAGGGCGTGCGACCTCTTTCCTTCCTTTCCTCCTTTCGTTCTCGTGTTCTTGAATCCAGAGTCCACAACCGGGAATCCTAATTGTGTCCGGTAATGTTCCTCACACAAGCTTCGAGACCCGTACGTCATGCGCCCAATTTGGGCCCCATCCTCCCGACTTCCTCGGTCGAGCGCTGACGACCACTTCCTCTACTCTGATACATAGGCAACGCGGGCAGCGGCCTGGCGGACGTTCTCTACTTCTGCACGCACGATGACGGACAAGTTTAGGATCGAGAAGGATACGTTTGGCGAGCTGAAGGTGCCTGCTGACAGGTACTGGGGTGCCCAGACCCAGCGGTATGCCCATACTCAACTTGCCAGCTCTATTTCTCACCTACGCATTCTCTACCCGTTCGATGCGCCTCTAGGTCCCTCCAGAACTTCGACATCGGCGGGCCGACAGAACGCATGCCCCCACCCCTGATCAAGGCCTTCGGCGTACTCAAGAAAGCCGCCAGCATCGTCAACATGACCTATGGGATGGATGCCAGGGTTGGCAAGGCGATCGGCGAGGCTGCGGACGAGGTTATTAGCGGGAAGCTGATCGACCATTTTCCGCTTGTGGTGTTCCAGACTGGGTCGGGCACGCAGACGAACATGAATGTGAACGAGGTGCGTAGTACATGCATACATTGGCGCGGAATGCTTATGTGGAATGATGTACGCAGGTCATCTCCAATCGAGCGATTGAGATTCTCGGCGGCGAGCTGGGGTCGAAGAAGCCTGTACACCCGAACGATCACGTCAACATGTCCCAGTCCTCGAACGACACTTTCCCTACGGCGATGCACGTCGCTGCTGTGACGGAGATCCGGGGGCAGCTCATCCCCGCTCTTACCGAGCTGAGGGATGCGATGCAGGTGAAGCAAGCCGAGTTCGAGGGGATAATCAAGATTGGAAGGACGCATTTGCAGGATGCGACCCCGCTTACCTTGGGGCAGGAGTTCTCCGGCTACGTACAGCAGCTCAGTAACGGCATTGAGCGTGTTTCGGATGTGCTCCCTAGGCTTAGCCTGCTCGCTCAGGGTGGTACGGCTGTCGGCACTGGCCTGAACACGAAGAAGGGCTTTGACGTCAAGGTCGCTGCCGAGATCAGTGCGCTTACGGGGTACGAGTTCAAGACCGCACCGAACAAGTTCGAAGCTCTTGCGGCACATGACGCCCTCGTAGAGGCCCATGGTGCGCTCAATACTGTCGCTTGCTCGCTCATGAAGATCGCCAACGATATCCGGTACCTCGCTTCTGGCCCGCGCTGTGGACTGGGAGAACTTAGTCTGCCGGAGAACGAGCCTGGTAGCTCGATCATGCCTGGGAAGGTTAACCCCACGCAGTGTGAGGCGATGACGATGCTTTGCGCGCAGGTGATTGGTAACCAGACTGCTGTGTCTGTTGCTGGTTCCTGGGGCCAGTTCCAGGTTTGTTTCTTCGCTCATGATGATCACTTGGGTGCTGACGTCCCACGCAGCTCAATGTTTTCAAGCCTGTGATCATCAAGAACGTCCTGCAGTCTATCCGCTTGCTCTCTGATGGCTGCCGTAGCTTTACCAAGAACTGCGTGGTTGGCATCGAGGCGAACGAGAAGCGTATCCACCAGCTGCTGACCGAGTCGCTCATGCTCGCCACCATCCTGAACAGCCATCTCGGATATGACAGTACGTGTCTTTATCCTCCTGAGGTGGCCAGCAGTTGACGTTATGACAGATGTAGCCAAGTGCGCGAAGAAGGCGCACAAGGAGGGCACGACGCTCAAGGAGGCGACTGTTGCGCTTGGGTTCCTGACGCCGGAAGAGTTTGACGAGAAGGTACGGCCTGAGCTTATGCTCCACCCTGATGAGTAAATGGGAAGTGGTCTGTGTAATGTGAGAGAGACCAAAATGTAGCGATTGTACATTATCTATCGCTGAATTTCCTGAGCATCGTTGGGCATGTTCAAACAAGGTATGTACTGCACTGAGACCGGTAAGAGAACGAATGCTTGTGATGATTGCCCCGGGATACTCCGCACTAAGGGATGACGTGTGTGGAGGCCGACCGGTTATCAATTGCACGTGAATGCCAACGTGCGGGGAATGTCGGCCCTATTAGACGCATCGACCAGTCACACCCCCTCTCCCTCCCCCCTCTCACAGTGCCAACCATGTCCAAGCTCATCCTCGACCCCGCCTCCCATCTCCTCCTCCACCCAACCCTCAACACAGCGCTCAAAGTCCTCGCCACCACCACAGGTAGGGACAAGCTCCAGCGTACACTGCAGTATTACTCTCGCTTCTTGGCGTATGTCTATGAACGCAGGGGTTTGGTAGAGGAGAGTAAGAGGTGGAATGGGCTCAAGGGCGTGTTCGGGAATGCGCGTAAAGGTGTGTCTCCCCCTCCTGGCACTCGTGAACGGGTTGGGGCTCACTATATGCGCCACGCCCAGTGCTACGGATGTTCAAGTTCCTCGAGCACCTGCAATCCGCTCTCAGGCTCTCGCTCTCCACTTCCGGCGACTGGGCCCAGATCACCCAGATCGCGCGTCAGGTCGGATACGCCGGATTCCTCTTCTTTGACCATCTTGGCTGGGCGGGGAATGTCAAGCTCCTCAGGATGAGCAAGGAGAGTGTGGAGAGGGCTAATAAGCTCAGTCAGAGGTTTTGGCTCGCGGGGATCCTGTTGAGTCTTGTGAATAGCGGGGAGCGGGTGAGTGCGTTTCTTCTGTGCTGGACGTCCTAATCTGTACTCTGTGGGATTGTAGTTTGCGCAAATTCGTGCTGAGCGCAAGCGGCTCACTGCCCCCACCACAGCGGAAAAAGAGACCCCAGAAGCGGAGAAAAAACTCCGTCTCCACACGCTCACAGCAGAGTTCTCCGCCGTCCGTATGCAGTTCGTCCAGGACACGCTGGACTTTTGGCTCCCGGCGAGCAATTTGGGGATCGTCAGTGTTAGTGAAGGGTTTGCGGGCGCGTGCGGGTGAGTCAGATTGGTGTTTGGGGTTAATGGAATGGGGGATTGACGGTATGGGGTTAGGACGATCACTTCCGTTATGGGGTTCTACCAGGCTTGGAAGAAGGCGAGTGGGAAATGAACGTTCACCATGGGGGAGAAGCAGCGAGTGTGGGGTATGTGATGAATAGTAATAACAAGTACTTCGCTGAACACTATTTGTCCATTTGATGAGCCAGCTGGTGTAGTGTGAGGGGCAATCCATCCCTGTTCCGATGGAATACATTCGTCAATTGAATAAACCCACGCTTCCCTTCGTTTTCATAAGCATGGGTCGAGCTTCTTCCCCGCAAATTTCCTTCCCTAGTCTCTTCCATGTCCCCGTGTCCGATATCGATGCCAGTACTGTTCGGCAGACGACAAGCAGACGGACGCGGACGAGCTAATTATCCTCATTTCCGTCGCATGCTATTATGCGCTAGTCAAGTGACGGATCCATCCTCCACCTATCTCATCCCATCCCATCCGCCAGGTAAGTACCGCTCCGCCTCCTGCCGCTGTCAACAAGCTCTTGGAACGAACCCTGAGGCATGCCACCATCCGCAGAGGACTCATCTCACCCCCAAAACCAATCACACAAGCTGGTCTACATGCACAGGGTGCTCAGTACTGCTTATCTGGCAGGATGAGGGGTCTGGAGGCTAGCGCCTGCCTGCCTGTCTGCCGCAGGGGATCAGTGCGGACCGACTACTAGTGGCCATTCAGGATTAAGTACTGGACGGAACTGGGTGCTCTTAGGAGGGCCGATAACCTCGGGCTTGGGTCGTCTTGTGTTCTGCTCTTGAAGTGCGTGGGGACAGGAGCTCTATCATCATCGTCACCATCGCTATCATTACCAGCAGCGGCAGGAGCAGGAGCAGCGGTACTGGCAGCTTCAGCTTCGGCAGTGCTCTGCCGAGAGTGGGCGCAGTCAGAACAGCATCAGCACAGTCAACAGGCCGCCAAATCCCTCATTGTCAGCTCTAGCAAGCAACCAATCTCCCCTTGTCAAAAGAGCTGCGCGTTATCTTACAGTACCTCGCCTCGCCAGTCAAGCAAATTCAACGACAATCAACCGCTTAACCCCGCATCCCCATCTCCCTGATACGCCAGCGTCCCGACCCGCGGGCCACTAGCACTTCTAATCCCTGTTCAGGCACCTTTTCCGGGAAGGGTGGGGCTGGAAATACCTTTTTAGGCAAGGGGGGTGATTGACAACTATCTGGGCGCTAGCAGTTTCCTGCGCTTTGAGGGCACGACGCACGACGCACGGCCCACGGCGTCCTCTTCCTCTTCCTCTTCCTCTTCCTCTTCCTCTTCCTCTTCCTCTTCCTCTTCCTCTTCCTCTTCCTCTTCCTCTTTGCGCCGCCCCCAGCTCTTAGGTTTGTTCATACCGCTAGAAAGTGGCCGCGAGATGAATGTGCAGTGGCTCGACGCGGACATAGTCGCCAACCTCCAAGGCAGATGTACGTCCCACCGTCCCTCTTACCATCCCCTTTCTTTTGTATGTATGCCCAGCCTGATGATCCCCAGGGGCATCCTCGGCCGTGTTCTGCTACGAGATCCTCATCACTCTCGACTCGGAGGTCGAGCTCGTCTGGGCCAAATCGTGGACGTTGCCGAAAGTGTTATACGTTATTTCTAGATATGGAGGGTTCGGGCTGAGCTTGTACGTCTATGGTACTTGGGGATGGAGCCAGGGCTGAGCGGCGACGTAGACTGGTGACGATCGTCTCCTCTATTGATGAGATTAATGGGGTAGGTCATGCTTCAAGTAATCGAAAAGCTGCTGAACTGTTCTCCAGTTGTAAGTTTCCGAGCCGAGATGTTCTGCGACGCAGGTGCTCATGCTTCTAGTTGCCGAATATTCAACGCAGTAGAATACTGGTATGCCCTCACCCATCCTCAGCCGCATCGTGCGCTCACTGACCCGCGTCCAAAGCTTCTTCATCCTCTCCTCCCTCTCGGCCGACAGCCTCCTTCTCGTCCGGGTTTGCGCGATCTACAGCACTGCGGGGAGCACGTTTGGGTTTAGGGATGTGACGCTCCGAGGGATGTTGTTGTGTTGTTTCGGTTGTGAGTCCCTTCTTCCTGTCAAGAACAGCGCGGTTGACCTGACCTGCCGATTCAGTGCTTATCGTGGTATGTACCACCAACTCCGTACCTAGACATGCCTAACGAAACGGCAGCTCGAAGTCGCCCTCTTCATCTGGGAATTCCAGATATCGGTAAACAACAACATCCCGCTAGAGGCGGAGGATTTCGGCTGTTTAGGGGCAACTGGATTGCCGGATTGGAATTACAGTGTTGTCGCGTACGTCTGTCCACTGTCAGATACCCTTGTATGCTTATTCTTGCGTTCACAAGGGTTGCCATCCTTGTTTTCAACTGTATGCTTCACCCCACTTCGATGACCAAGGATGCCTACTGACAGCTGCCAGTGCTCATGTTTAGCATGACCATCATCAAGCTGTTTCCCGGCTGGCGCACCTCTCAAGGCCTGACTATGGAAGCCCTCAGCACCCTCTTAATCCGAGACGGTGCAATCTACTTCGGTCTGTGAGTCTTCCATGTCCTGTCCCATGTGTCGGTACACGACTCATCCCGTTCTCAGCGTCTGCAGTGTGTTCCTCCAAGCGTTCGGGCAGGGACGCGTACTAATTGAACCATGAACAGCCTCGTCCGCCGTATTAACAATCATGGTTTTCTCTTTTATAACCCGGCCGGGACTGCAGCTGGCACCACTCCCGTAAGCATGCCGTTCGGTTGACGATCAGCATGGCATCCAATGACCCTATGTGCAGATGGTGTGTCGTCATCAGTCCTATAGCTGTGCGCACTGCCTTTATCCGATCTTTATGTAGGCATTAAATCTCCCAATTAGGCATGTCGATTATACCTCAACTTGAAAGCGATGGGCCAAACAGGGCAGGTCTCTACCCAGCCCACACCAACCGGGGAAAGCACAAACATCGTCACTCCCTGGTCCTGGGCCATCCGTTGGACTACACGAAGAAAACACGACCTCATGACGACATGGGCCACCTCGGTGGAGCTCTCGCATCTTGAGCATGGGACGGATAGGCGATGACGACCGATCTTCACGTTTTTTCTGGAAAATTGGTCTTGTTTCGGACGTCTTCACCATTTCAGTTCAAAGAGGTTTCCTGGTTTCTTATATGGTTCATCTAATGCGGTTTCAGTCTCCATTCACACTTGGAATTTCCATCGAATACCCACCTGAACAGAACACCGGAGATCCGCGTTCAGGGCAGAAGCGCAATGTACAGTATTCGGCACCTTTGTATTCTTTCATAATGTTGTAATTCTAGGATGAAACCCGGATGTTATGGGTCAGACCATTCATGTCTTGGTGTGATCTGTTTTCCTTTCAAGGAAGAGGATCGGTCGGCGGTATCGACGCACTGGTATCAAAATCAACGAGGGGGGTCAGAAGGATTCCGATGTTAGCCTACTAAGAGTACGTCACCAGAATCCAGTGGACTCTTCAGTCGACCTCACCGACAAGACCTCGAAGTTGTATTTTTAATTCGGGTTTCGGCGAAGCGTATACTGACCCTATTTCAGTTATTACAGTACTGTCATCCTGCGTGTAGCGATTGATGCCATTTTGTGAGGCCTCGAACCGGGCTTTGATACCTTTATGGGGAAAGAAGCACAGCCTTTATCTCCTATTTTTCTCTTTCTCGTCGCTGAGCGCTGATCATTTGGAGGACCATCGGATGTCCCGTCTCTTCGGACGGCGTCATATTGACAAGCGGTCTTCTAGCAGCCACGTTGTGAAGGCTACGTCCGTTGTACATCAGCAGGAATACACGCTACTGGGCACGGATACATGGAGGGAGATACCAGGACACATACGTTGTCGGAAGAGAATATTGGACGAACACTCACCTTGGGACCTTGAGACCATTCCATATTCACAGCAAATACACATGGCATGAGGACGGTTTCAGCAGATTATCTCCTTCAAATCGGCGCTCCAGCCGCGTTCTCGTCCGCGTTTGATGGCCTCTAGTGCCACGCACGTGACCCAACCGCGATGCCCAATCATAACACCGTTTCCAGGATACCGGTAGAATCCGCCAGCAGGCCACCCGCCATCGGACTCCTGAGCGAGGAGCAGCAGCTTGAAGTCCTGTCCTGGGTCGAGATCGTGCTGGGCGCATAAAAGCATGCGCAATGCCAGGCCACAGGCCTCAGAGGGGATTCCAACTCGCTCCCTAATACGAATGAGTAGGAGATCGAGGTATTGGGCGCAGAGCTCTGGGCTATGCAAGAGCAGGCGCGAGAAAAAGAAGAGATATGTTTCTGCGCAGTGATAATACGTCGTACCGCCGAGGTAGGCCCTTGTCTTCAGAGTGTCAATTACCCAAGCCTTTGTCTGTTGTAAGAGGGGTTCGTCTCCCCTTCCATTTGAGTAAAACAATGTGAGGATGTTGCAGCAGACTATCGGATCGATACGCGGGCGCTTTCGGTCGAAGTAGGTCTGGATGATGTTGTCTGTATTGAGGCACGTCAGCATTTCGTTCATCACGTCGTGTCTCATTTCTGGCTTGATGTGGGGACAGATGGAGAGGCCGATCGAGGTAGTATCCATGTCGTAAGGAAACTCTTTGATGGTCGGTTGCTTGTCCCCCTGATAGAAATGGAACAGCCGATCGTACTTGTCGTAGTTCACGATATCACTGGGTGTAATGTGTTGGACAGAACATATAACGGAGCCAGAAAGAGGATGCTCACGCTCGTCCGGTTAGCTCCAAAATAAGCATTTGAGTAAAATTCTCCTCCACGTCTTTACCCTGTCCCGTGAAGGAATGCATCCTGCCTTTGTTTTCTTCCACCCACTTCCAACCCCTTTCAACGGGATCAGCGCACAATGCCCATAATGTCCTGACTGCGCTTTCTTGATCCCGAAAGACAAAACCAGCAACCCCAAGAGACTTCGCAGTGAGAACGTTCTCCACTTTATCATCGATGAAAATGACACGTGCCGGATCGAGCTTCTCAGAGTCGATAATAGATCGGAAGAACGAATGATCAGGCTTGCGTGCACCGATTGCATAGGACGCATGAATACGATCAAAGACATCCCAATCAAAGCCAGGTCGTGCATGAAGCCAATCAAAGTCCGGTTTGGAGATGTTACTTCCTGCCAAGATCTTGTGGTTTTCTTTGAGCTGTCGAATGAGTGGAGGCATGAGAGGGTTGGGTACAAGACTCTCTCGCGCATCGTGGAAAGCCGCTTGAACATCCTCGTAAGGGACATTCAGCCGATCTGCAGTCGAGCGATAAAACTCTTCCTCGGTGAGTCGTCCACATTCATATTCGTAGAATGCATGGGACCGCAGAATGAGCTTGAACGTTCCGCCGGGAATGGAACGATTTGGCGCAGGTTCCCATGTGAACAGTACGTCGCCGATGTCAAATATGATAGTATCATAAGGCTGCACGTAGCCTGGGGGAGGTGTCGGAGCAGTGACTGGGGGGGTATCAACGGCAGTGTCTGTGCATACATTAGAACGGAATGATAGCACAATCAACGTAGGAAATACATACCGTCAGTTGCCGTGCTTGCATTCCTCATATGCCCTTTGACGACAAGGACAACGTCTGAGATATGTGCCCCCGTGTCCTCATGAGATTTCTTGTCGCTCAACACAGCAGTGATCGTCTGTTGCTGGCTCTCTCTGATACGCTTGATATCCTTGCCCTCTTGACCGGTCTGGATGACCTGGGTACGCGGCACAGATTCGAGAGCAGCATTGGACGATAGCAATGACGTGAAGAGAAACTTATTCAGTAATCGGGAGAGTATTGACGAACTGGTCAACCTCGGTGTGGAGGTTTTGGTAGTCGACATCCTGGATAGGCAGGCAAGAGCTAGGGGTTGGCTGGGTTAACAGACGGAGGACGTCAGCTGGGTAAGCGCAACGAGGTGCATGGGACTATCCCATCATCGGTATTTATGCTGCGTTGTGGTGAGCTAGACAGGATCGATGAGGGGAAACTCCTGGGCTGATCGACCGTCATACATTTCAGCTCTAGCAGCGGCGAAAATTGGTCAACATGTCCGACCGTAGCAATTGATGATTTAGAAGAATGTGAAAAGCTCCAACCATTTTCGGGGCGCATGGTTATCATACATGCTATTTAGAAGCCGTCGAGATGCTTCTGTATTGTGGCATGATTGCTCCTTGCTCGCCTATATCGGGGATGCGCTTCGATAGCGTACAGAGTCGCGCCGAGGATTGGTCCGCTATCGCTGTCCGGAGCACCCTTTCCTTCCGAAGACCAAGAAAATGGCATGCGAGATTATCCAGTCTAGAGATTCTCCGTCCCGAGGCACGAAGGAACCAAAAGCCATGCGAGGTCGCTTGTGTGATATAAGCGTGCTGAATTGGTAGCTCGGCCTCCCGGTGCCGCCTCAAGTGTAGCCACGTTGGATGAACGTGGCCTAGCCCAATGACCAACTTGATGTCCTTTGTTGCACGTACGTGAGAAACGTGCTGGCAAAGAAGGCAATGCTTTGAAACTGGAGGAGTAGTGAATACCCTCAGAGCCGGACGGACTCAGAAATACGAAGCAACACCAGGTGTGTTGGCAGCACTGCTGGATGTACTCGCTGCTTGAAGAAGCAGAGATATGTCAAGCAGCGCCTTTGGATACATGACTCTTGAGCTCGATCCCCGATATCCAATGACTTCCTGCGATCTCTCACGGACATAGGACCCTTGCAGCTCTGCAGCCAGATTTGAATAGCAAAGTAAGTGATTGATGACACAGCACGGTAGCGGTACGCACTTCCTCACCGAAGCACAGGCTTGTCCATTCTAGGCAGGGTAGGGAAGCAGAAAGCAGCAGCCCAGGCACGAATACTGTGTCCATGGATATGGGACACCATGCGGGTCGTCCATGCGCAAACAACGAGGCGTGGCTATCGGAGCCGATATACTCCGTAGCGCGCCTAAAAGCTGAAAAAGCGCGCTGGTTGCGCTGCTTCTCCAACGCTTCTTGTCCCCTTGTCGACGTCGGTTGGAGATAGGGCGGCCTTTTGAGCATGTTTGACAGGATAAAGAAATGCACGCCGCTGGCAAGCTTCATACAAAGACTGCACAAGCGGGACGTATGAACTGTCGGAGAGCTTGTTTGTCGGGTCGGGTATCCTTCCGTTCCGTATACCCGCGTCGCAAATGACACCCCATTATTGGTATGTCGTATGATCGAAACAGCAAGTTGCGATATGGGGACATCCCCCGTTCGCCTCTCGCCTCGAGCGGGCCGGAAGTCAAAGGATCATCATATGCCCGGCGATGTATGTCTGTCCTTTATGGATCCGTATGAGTTGCGACATGTGGATCTAGTTCTCCATCGTATTCTTGCCTCGCCTCGACTTGTGTTTATCCCGAATGCGTATGCCGTTTAGCCAGAAATGGAAGGAGAGTCGATAAACTGCGTTGGCATCTGCGGTGAGACATTGTTGCGCTGTGGCTTCTTCTGCCTTTGTGTGCCAATGAACTCGTTACGCCGAATACGTTCCCACACTAGCTAGAAACACCAGAACCCGGACGATGGGGATGATAATGATCAAGCGAAGAAATTCAGCTGACTGGAAGCAATCGCAGCATGAGGGTGATTGATGAAAAGCCGGCTTACTCCCCGATCTCGGTATTTCCTCCGAGAGATATGATACTCCATGGACAAGATCGATGCAGGAGATGTGGACGAATGGGCGCGGAGAGTGGGCGCTTTGGTTGGAATGCATCTGACATGGACTGGAATGGAAAGCCTCACGCTGGTTTGGGGCTCTGACAGGTGAAACCTCCGCGGCAACTCTATCAGAATAGAATGTCACGGAATCGAAAGGAATCCCGAGTCTATCTTCCTGTACATTCTGAGCTCGAGGGACGACGATCGTGTGCGATAGGTTGAAGTGCGATCATCTTGCTGCCATTCAGGGAAAAGGCACGCAAGGAGGGAGGAGCGGTAGGCCGATCTGCCCGTGCAGAGCAGCAGGATCTCTCGAAATGTTCCTTCAAGTCCTTTTATGGTCCCAACCCTCATTTCCCAATCCACACATCACGATTCTACCGCTTTCCCGTCCGCGCCGGTTCCATCCCTAGCACCTCGTCATAACTCGGCGGCTCTGTGGTCACCCGACTGCGGATATCGCTGCTCCCGCTCGCTCGACCCGTTTCGCTTTCTTCGGAACTGGGTGCACCCCCTTCGGTCTGCGCGATCGACGAGCGCGATGGGGATGGGGAATGCGGGTATGGGCGGCGAGGGGATGCTGCCTGGGAGATAGCAGGCGAGAGAGAAGGTGAACGACCTTCGTCGGAAAGCATACGGGAGTGAGACTGCAGGCCACGGCCCGGAACCGCGTTGAGCGGCAAGATCTGCCTCTCTGAGCCGGGGGTGCTTGCGCTCCAACCGGACCCTGTTGGAGGTGTACCGGGGGGGCTCTCGTCGTCCAGCGCCAGCCGGGCTCTGCGTACCGGACCCCGGTACGCGGGAAGAAAGGGAAGGTGGATGTTGCAGTAGTGGCCGAAGTAGTAGATCATTGTAAGGGAAGCGACTAGGAGGAAGGCTAGCCCGCCTATCACCCCCCCAGTGATGGCGCCTGTTGGAGCTGGAGAGGGGGTCGGGTCGGGTGTAGCGGGCGCTGAGGCTGGGGGAAGGGTGTTCGTTGGCGTGCCAGTGACCGTAGATGTAGTAGATGTAGTAGCCGTGGACGTCCCTGTCCCTGCTCCTGATCTGGTCTCAGTCCCCACCCTTCTGAGAAAAAGACAACACACCAGGATCAGTAACATTAACCCGAAACTCATAGTGAAATATCCAGCCCCACACGCCCTCTTCCTGCCCTGCCACCTGCTCCATCCGTTCAAACGCGTTCGAAATACAGACATTATGTCTCCCCCATTCCAGCTGGGTCTCATACAACACCGTCGGGGGGAGCAAGCTATTCCCCAGGGAGAAATCACTAAAGTTCACGCTGAGGACTGTAGCAGACGGGCCTGGAGAACCGGAGGAACAGTCGCAGTCAAAGCAGAGGAGCGCGGCGTCTCCTGAGCCGGACTTGCACCCAGACCATTGGAAGCCGCTGGCGTTTGCTGCTTTGGGGATGAGTACGTCCAATCGTGGATGATGCGGGGGGAATGGACGGACAAGGGAAGGAATAGAGGATCTGGCTAGGGTATCCGCCTTGCATTAGCGTGACTGTATCTGCATTTGTGAGGTTCCAAGTGCCTTGAGGAAGGAAGGACATGCCGGGATCGGTAGCGCCCACAACGACTGTCGACGCGTCCATTAGGTATTAGTGGGACAGGTAGGGGGGTATTATTACTGCCAAGTCAGAGAGTCAGAGTCAGAAAGTAGGAAAGAGAACACCCAGGCAAAAGGCACACCTCGTCGGAGGAGGGGAGGAGTACGACGGCAAAGTCTGCCAGAGACTTGCGCCTATCATCCCCTCCTTCCCAGCCTCCTCAATCACCATCAAAATCAGGATCACCGCACTACGAATGCGAAAACCGTTCCTCAAAGTACAGACATCAGTGCAAGACCCGGAAATGCAGCAGAGGATAGAGATCAACAAGCGGTGCACTGTTGGACGACGACGGTGATGAGTGGGTGTCCAAGGGACCGCCTTGAGCACTTTCGTTCCTCCTGCTTCCCCAACGAGCACTCAACTCCGAATATTGAAGTCGTTCAATCATCAGCGTGACTGGACAGTGCAAAGTGCACAATGCACAATGTATACGACACTCTCACGCAGCACCCAGCAGGGGGAAAACAACTAGGGCTGAATAAATTTTGGCTATATACTATCCCGCCGCCACACTCCCCACTAGGCGTACTCCCCGTACTCCCTCCCCCGGGTGCGTCGCCCACGCCCCGCTCAGAGCATAAACGTAAGCGGGTTTTCCAAATACCGTTTGAGCGCTGCGAGCCATTTTGCGCCCACCGCTCCGTCCACACTCCTATGATCCGAGCTGAGCGTCGCTTGCATTATCTGGACCGTCTTGAACCCCTTCTCTTCCTCAGGCGCGGGGACGAGCGTGGGCGTCGTAGATCCTATAGCGAGGATACATGATTGGGGCGGGTTGATGATGGCGCTGAAGACTTGGATGTCGTACATGCCCAGATTGGAGATGGTGAATGAGCCACCTTGGTATTCTTCGGGCTGGAGCTTGCCGTCCCGCGCTTTTTTCGCTAGGGCTTTCGTTTCAGTCGAGATGGTAGTCAGACCTTTGCCGCCGGCGTCCTTGATTATGGGCGTGATGAGCCCGTTGGGCGTCGCGACTGCGACGGAGATGTCGGCTTTCTTGTACCTGCGGAGCGGGTTAGAAACAATGATGGGAGTGTCAGGAAAGGCAAACTCACTGCCGGATAAAGTCGCCCATCCAGCCGCTGTTCGCTTCGGGCACTTCGGCCAAGGCGAGCGCACATGCCTTAACGATGAAATCGTTCACGCTAAGCTTGTTGGGCTTGGGCGCGCCCTCGCCAGCCTTGGCAGCCGCGGCTGCCGAAGCAGCATTGAACACTTCGCGCAGGGCAAGCACTTTGTCCATGTTGATCGCTACGGTGAGGTAGTAGTGCGGGACGGTGGTCTTCGCTTCCAGCAGCCGGCGGCCGATGACGGTACGCATCGTCGTGAGGGGGATATCGATGTACTCGCCCTCCGGTGCTGGGGCCTTGGCCGCCGCCGCCGCGGCAGGGTCAGGAGCAGCAGTGGGCGATGGAGCCGCAGCCGGAGCAGGAGGCTGATAACTCTCCACATCGGCTTTGACGATCCTACCCCCAGGTCCGGAACCCTTGATCTGCCGCAGGGGGATACCTTTCTCCAAAGCGAGGCGCTTCGCAATCGGGCTAGCGAGGATCGGGCCTCCGGAGAACTGGGTCTCTGCCTTGGCTGGGGCAGCGGGCTCGGGCTTGGGAGCCTCCGGCACCGGAGCGGGAGGAGGAGCAGCCTCCTTCGGCGCGTCGGGCTTGGGCGCAGCAGCCTTAGCAGTCCCGGCAGCAGCAGCCTCCGCAGCGAGCTTCTCCGCTCCCGAGAGGTCGTCACCTTCCTCTCCTACGATAGCGATAGGCGTGCCGACCGCGACGCCTTTTGAGCCGTCAGGGACGATGATTTTGCCCAGGACACCGTCGTCTTGGGCTTCGACGTCCATTGTGGCTTTGTCGGTTTCCTAGTGTTGGGAGGTGCATATATGCGCGCATATACGAGGGTATCAACAGGAGAGAGCAAGATAGTAAGCTCCCGCACTGCAGAGGGGTATGACACGTACAATCTCCAACAAGACGTCTCCAGCAGCGTACCCCTCGCCTTCCTTCTTTTTCCAGGCAGCAATGCCGCCCTCGGTCATGGTAGGTGACATAGCGGGCATGAGGAATTTAGAAAGAGCATGCCTGCGTGCTGAGGAATGGATAAGTGCGCGGGAAGCGTGCCTCGGTAGGCCTGGTGATCGTTAGTGCGCGTCGGGAGAATTAGGGCCAACGTACGGGAGACGGCGATCCTTGTGAGCATTGTTATCTAAACGGAGGGGGGGATGTGGTCAGGAGGGGGTTATAACCTGACCAAAGGGACAGGAGGGAGATGGTGGTGGTGGGAGGGCAAACAGATGCCCGAGCCAGCGACGAGGACGAGGACGAGGACGGAATGAAAGGCGTTTCTCTCAACCGTGGATGGAGGGTAACTGATGGTGGACGACAGAACGCTCGCCGGTATTAGATTTTTGTTCCCGTTGACCGGCCCGTCTCCACCGAGCAAAGCCGATTAGTGGCTGTGTCGTGTTCATCCTCATCCATTCCTCAATTTGGAATCTAACCACTCTCATCCAACGATGTCAGACATTGTACTCCCAGGTCAAGCACTTTCTCTCCCTCAGAGAGCACCACTCCCACAGACAGGAACAGGTATATACAACAGAACATGTCTCAGATCGACCATAATAGGCATTCCATCCACAACAGGATCACTCATCTCAGTCATCCCACCTCGTCCTATCCCTCCAGTCCCTCAACCAGGCTCACTCGTACTAGGCAAAATCACCCACCTCTCTCCAACAAGCGCAACACTCCTCATCCTCGCAGTCGACAACAACCCATCGGAGGAGTTCACGGGGATTATCAGGACTCAGGATATACGCGCGACGGAGAGGGACAAGCTCAGGATGGGTGACTGTTTTAGAGGAGGGGACGTCGTACGCGCTCTGGTGCTCAGCTTGGGTGATCAGAGGAACTATTATCTCTCAACGGCGAGGAACGACCTTGGCGTTGTATTCGCTACTAGTGAAGCTGGTGCGCCCATTCCATTCCATTGGGTACACCCCGCTAATTCTTTATAGGAGGAATAATGCAGCCCATCAATTGGCAAGAGATGCGCTGTCCCCGCACAGGCCAAATCGAGAAACGCAAATGTGCAAAGCCCTAACTTTAACCCTCATACGCCCTCTTCACACACAGCACCATCTCCCTATACACGCGATCCCTTCTCTCCGCCTCCCCCGTTCCCTCAGAACAAAACACGTCAAACCCATGCCCCACCCCTTTCTCCCAAATCCTCACCACTCCCCTCCCCGCCTCATCCAGTCTTTCCCCAAACGCCCGGCACTCAGCGTCCAGCCAGTCCTGCTCAACACTCAAGAGCAACGTCCTCCCTTTATCTGGGAACTTCCCCGGCTCACAGAACGCGGGACTCAACCTCGGGTCCCTCAGCTCGTTCCAGTCTCCCAAATACGCCAGCCGCATAAGCTCCAAGTCTCCTATCGGGTTTGGCCCCCCCGGGCCCGGAGGAGGAGGCACCTTCTTGCGAAAAGGCACCGAGCAGTCCACAGGCGGGTAGAAGACCGTCACCCCCTGGACCTGCACCCCTTCCTCCAAATTCCCCACCAAAGCGAGCGCCAGCGTCCCCCCAGCCGAGAACCCGCTCACCGTAACCCGCCCATCAAACCTCCCCTCCTCGTTCTTCCTCACATACTCCAGCGCTGCCATAGCGTCCTCCCACGGCTTGGGAAAACAAAACTTCGGGCCCTTCCGGTAGTCGCAGTCTAGCACGATGGCACCTGTTTGTCGCGCTAGTAGCGTACAGGCAAGATGGTTCGACCCGAGGGAGGGGAATATGAACCCCGATCCGTGGAAGTTGAGGTGTACGGGCTTTGGCTTTGGCTTTGGCTTCGGTTTCGGTTTCTGGCTAACGCCCTGCTGCCCAATCCGTCCCGCCTTCCCCTCCTTCAACTCCCTCACCAAATCCGCCGCACACTTCTCCAAACCCAAGTCCAGCTCCTCCTCCCCAGCCTCATACCACAGCCCTTTCAACCTCCCTCCATCCGGAGTGTCCCAGTATACTTCCCTCTGGTGGGGAAGGCGGCGGGGGGAGGAGAGCTGGAAGAGGGAGAAGAGGAATAGGAGGAAGTGCAGTCGGAGGGTGAGGAGGAGTCGGGTGTGTAGCGGGAGGGAGGGGGGCCAGGGCATGGGGATCGTTTAGGTGGGGATGGGGGCGTGAGGGTGTAGGGATGTAGACTGTTGTTGGTAGGGTGTTGTAGGTGTTGTAGGGTTGTAGGTAGCGTAGGTGATGTCACTGACAGACCGTCGACTAGTCCTCTCGCACCATAAAACTATATACCCATGTCTACCTCCATCTCCATCTCCACCCATACACTGCTCGTAGTCCACGCAGCACGCAACACAGGACGTACCCGTTCATCTCGGGCCCGTGTTAACAACGGCACCGGCGACTGCAAGGGCAACGCCAGCGTGCCCATACCCGAAATACCTGGGATCATGAGCTCGGCGGCATGCTCGGTGTTCTTTCTGCCTCCCTGTATTACTCATTTTTCCTTCCAAGATGGGGTCTAGCGAGCAGGAATGTGGGGAATAAGAAGGGATGGCCGGGCTTTACGGAGAATGCATGTATGTCGAACATGAGGAGGCTTTGGTCTACTAACTTGGCGCTGCGAGGGTAGAGCATCCCCCGGGTAGGCGGAAAGCGTGTTGTTCGTCGGGTTATGTGCTAGCTACCCTCAGATATTCAACGTTTTAACAGTCTGGCCATAGAGTGCGTAAGACTGTGCTAGCAATTGTAGGGGTGATGCGCTGATCCAACCAAATACATCTATCTCTTCGACTCGTTGCGTTCAGCGTACCGGACGAAACTTGAACGATATCGATTTTCTTATTCTCTGCCTTCTGATGTCATACAGCGACACACACTTTCCACCAAATATCTCACCATCGTGTGCCTTCCTCCCACCCCGCAGCCTCGACAACCTTAAGCTTCTCTCCCAGGATCCGGTTCCCTTCCACATCAGGATGTATCCCATCCGGGACTACGTCCGGTGTGAGCCAGTCTGTGGTGGGAACATGATGCACCTTGGGCTTGTCTTCTTCGTTTTCCCATTCAGCTCGGAGTTCTTTGACTAGAGCGTCCATGGCTGGGCCGAAACGGGATCCCCCGCTTCTTCTGACGCCGTAGAACGGTCCCTGTAGATTGTCACAATGATGAGTGTTATCAGAGGGGAGGAGTATGAAGGACGCACGAGGATGACGACGTCCGTTAAGCTTGCCGAGAATGTAGAGACGAGCTTCTTGATAAACTCGCTCATGTTCAACGCGAAATGGAAGATGGGCACGTCTCTCCCATCGTCGTTCGCCCCTAGACTACTTCAGTGCTTGTAATTGTTCGCTTGGGCAGGCGTACCGAGAGCGATGATGATCACTGTTGGGGGACGGTAGAGCGGGTTCGCGCTTGGGTTCCATGATTCCTGATGAAACCAGGATTTCTACATCGCCATTAGTCACATACCCCTGTTCAGCTCGACACGCACCTGCCAGAACTTGGTCACCATCCCGTCCTGCTGCCACCCAGCCATGTACGTGTCTACCAGGGTCACTCCCGGGTATGCAATTGTCTCCACGCCCACGTGTTTCCCCTCTGCTCTAAGCAGCCGCTCGAGGATGAGCGAGTACCCGTCCCATGCCCCATGGGGAGGGACGGGTAGGCCAGCGTCGGGACCCATGCTGTATGCGCAAGAGATGGAGTCGCCGATCACGAGTAGACGGGTAGTGGGCTCGGTCCCTTTCGGTATAGGAAGCAGGGAGTCGACCTGGGTGGTATTGGACGCATGAGCCCTGGATGGGATGCACTGGATGGGAGACGCACAGAGTCGCAGAGGAATGCAGCAACCTCGATGACCGAGCCCCAGTCTGTGATATACAATCTGCACACTCTTTCCACGCCCGATTCGCCCTCAAACAGCGGAATCACCTCTCCAGGCTTGACGTTCCTCAAAGTCTTCATGTTCTCTGGCTTCTCTGCCTCGCCAGGGCTGGTGATACACCACGCTATCATCGGCTCAGAACCCCACGGTCGTCCTTTTCTTGCGGTCTCTGGGCCGGCTTCGAGCGCTAGGTAGCTGCTTTTGAAATGGATCGTTACAGAGGACGCGGGCCAGGATGCGAACACCCCTTGGGAGGGGGTGCTCTCCCATCGTCCCAGTGGGAGGAGCGGAGCAGCGGCGGCGGCGACTCTGGCATGACTCGTGGACAAGGGCGTGGACATGTTTTCCCCTGAGAGAGGAGTAGAGGGGATACGCTTTTTGATGAAGGGGAGAATAGCCAGCGTGGAGGACGTCTATGAGTAACAGAAGAAATAAGTGCTCTAGGAGATGGTGTGAGGCGACAGACAACGCCAACGCGTCAACATTCCGCAACATTGTCAACAACATTATTATTGCCCCTTGTCAGGAACAATCACCCCTGGTATTGGAACGCAGAAAGTCATACCACTCCCAAAGGCAGAAAGGCGAGGTCCAGCCGCTGGAATTGGTTAAAGAGATCGACAATATATATTATTACAGATATCGGGAGACAATGTATATCACAATGGGCATCAGCGGTCACGTACGAATGTTCGCTGTGTGCGCCGACATTTAGACCAGGGCACTCGAAATTCTTCTTGCTTGGAAGCACGTATACTGCAACAAATGACATTATCAATATTGTTCATATAACGCAGATCTATGCATGCGGACAAACAAACTCAACCCTGCCATGTACCATATTATAACCGCACTTTCGCACCAGGCCGGCCCTCTACTTCGCCAGCCAGACATAACCCCTCTGCACCCGGTTCTGCAAATGCGGCCCTGAGAGGTGTTACGCTTGCGAATCCACGGTGTAACGCCCAGGTATCCGTGCCCTCTGGTAAAGTCGCGACATCAGGTCTCACGAGCGGCTCCATGTCGGGGGCAAAGTGGAATGTCAGCGGGTGCGCTGCCGTCTCCGCGTCCGTCTCGAATTTAGGCAAGGAGTGCGAGGGTTGGTTGGCTGGCGTTATTGAGCGAGAGGAGCTTTCGGATGAGGAAGGTGCGTCAGGTCCAGCGGCTTTCAGTGTTGTTGGCTTCTGGCTGGGTTTGAACAGTCGTCCATAACCATTGCGCCAAGCTGTCGTCCAAAGAGCTTCAATGCTACCTTCCGCCAGCAGTGTTTCAATCATAGGTACATTGATGCTGTATAGATCCACTTCGCCCTGCCGGAGGCCGCTTTCATCCGTACCCCAGTTGGAGTACAGGGACTTGATGATGCGACATGATAGGCTATTGGCCGGTGGGGTGAAACTTAGCGGTGTGGGATGATGGAACGTTGCGTAGGAGAGTGCGATAGATCGGACGTGGGAGAGCGATGCGGAGAGAGTAGCGCCGATAGTACCCGACGACAACATAAAGCAGGCTGTATGCGCACGTCAGTTGGTACAGAACGGAAGCGTGCGACGGACATACCTGAAGAATTTCTGCCAAAGTTAGGACCTGATATTACGAGATCTATCTCTCCTGGGAAGAGGTTATGTAAGGCGATATTTGCGCATGTCGCTGGCGTCTGCGTTGCTGATGAGTTGCGGATCGCGTACGACAATGAAGATGGCACACCGCTTCCAACAGGATCCATTCTGCCACCTCACCGTCCTTCAGCGGTCGTGATATATCGGAGTATTCACCCATTCCATCTGTCAGATTGGTAAGCGCTCTAAATGACCTTCTGTTCGACGATGCACGAACCCGGCTCTCGAGGGTAGTAATACTTCCCCTTTATTACATCTTTGATCACATACGCCTTCCCTGGTTGTCCATGAGATGATTCAGTCGTGCTCGGTTTGGATGATACTTACCGATCCATGATTTCTGACTAGCGGGCAAGACTACCTTGACTTCCCATCCTAACTCTTTCTCTAGTGCACGGGCGAACGAGAACACGTAAGGCGATTCCTTGGGATTGGGAGGACCATCATCATTCTGTCCTGCTCATCAGGATGGCACTGACAGCTGCTGAACCTTGCATGCTTACAGTGAGTATAACGCGAACCATGGTGTGTGTAAGTAGAAGGGTGCCGACAGCCCGACGCTGTCTACTCCCCCGCGATTTATGGCGCAAGCGGTCTTGTCACGGACGTGACGTGTGAGGGAAATTGCGCGTGAATGGAATGAATGCCTCCGACCTTGGCGGAGCGGATTATCTAGTCGGCGATTATAGAGGTCTAGAAATGCCATTCTATATGTTCATACCACAAAATATGGCGAGTGATCGACTGAGGAGATACAAGAAGGCCGATCTATGGTACATGAAAAGTAAGTGTCCTGCACAAAAGACGAGTACTACAGTAATACAATCTGATCAGAAAAACAACAATTGTGAGCGGAAACTGACAAGGACAAGAGGCAATATCAGAACATGACAAGGATCACGTAAATAGAATAAAATCTCTCGCGGTCCATATCGTTTGAGTTCGGCGAACCCATATATCAGACAGTGCGGGTACGAAGTGCGCGAGATGGAGCTTGCGGGCTAAGTCGCTTGTTGTACGTCAACGCACCAAAACTTGGTCGGGAAACAGTAGGAGCAGGGTGACCCCTCCCAACGAGGTGTTGCTGTCCCTCGTTACAAGCCGGGGAGATCGAATCCGCTTTGAGTCTGCAAATGTCCCAGAACGCAACATCGAAGTAAAATCCTCGCCTGTATGTACCGAGAACATGCGCACTTGAAGTAAGAATGACACGCAGATAGTCATCAGGTATACAACCGTCGACATTGCAGTCGTCGATGCCGGACCAAAACTTTTGTCGGATTGTATTCGTCTGAGCGTTGAAATCTACCTTGGGAGCAAATGGATCTTCGTTCATTTTCTTTTCTTCCAGTAATTTTGCTTGCTTGCGCTTCATGGAGACGTGTTGCTGTAGAGTAGCCTTGACATGAATCCCAATCTTGGTGTAAGACGCTTTGACGCTGGCAGAGTCCCGTCTGGCGCGCTCTTCAAAGTCTTCCCAAGGTTTGGCAAGAGCAGAGTCTTTCTAGACGGTCCGAGATGATGATGCTTGATAGAGATTGTCGTAGCACTCGATGATCCGGCAAGCTTCCCGTTCGCCTCGAGACTTCACTTCATCCAAGACAAATGTGCCAGGCAATTCGCGTTTGAGTGGAAGACGGTTTCCGTGACTTTTCTCCACTTTCCATGGGTGCTTCCGGTCATATTGCTAGATATCCTCACGCACGACTTCTTCCTTAATCTTCAAACCGGATTTCAGCGAGTCCAGCTCTACTGAGTATCTTGTCTGAATCAAAATCTCACATTTATTCTGATGGAGGCGTCCACTTGTGATAAGTTCAAATAGTCGAGTCATTAGGGGTTCATGGTCAAAGCATGATGTTGAACTCCTGTGTTGTAGAGGGGCAAGAGCGTTCCAGTACGGACGGCGGGAGAGGACAGCTTCATTTCGCATAGGGTCTCACAAGGGTCTCATGAGGGTCTGACTCCCCTAAATACTCAGACCCATTGTATGCAGGGTAATTAAATTTAGGTTCAAGCTCCGCTTTAACACTGCACATTATCTTCCGTGGCCTTGTCCCTTAGTGTGCATCACTGTCTATAAGTTGCACATTCCTCTGTCTACTGCTGTCAACTCCACTCTCTCTCTTTTTCTCCTGTTCCTCGTATTTTCATGGCAAACCAAAGGAAAACCCCACCTTGGCAGTGCACACCTTATTGGCATTGGATCTCTACTCTCCCCAGTAGCAACAGCCCCCCAGCAGAACTCCCTGACCCTGAACCCAGCATTGCTCACCATCCTTCAACACCCCCACAAGACACATGTCCCTCCTCTCTGACAGAGATTCTCCAATGCCTGGAAGCTCCTTCACCTCCTCCAACACACAAGCAATCACATCAAAGTTATCATAGGGAAGAGCTGGCAATGATCAGAGCAAATTTCCTTCCCCAAGATGCTGCTGAAGGATAACACACCATTCCCGACCTCCCTGTCATCTCCCCTCCTCCCATTGCTGTCCTTCAAGACCATCCCTCTCCTGACCCAACACAATCGCAGTCCCTTTCCTATTGAAGTAGTCAGTTCAATCAGCTTCAATCAACCCAAGATGAAATGGACCAGACTATCTCCACCCCACATCAAAGCAGACCCCCCCAGCACTCAGAGGAAGGGCTCTCTGATCACATGGCACTTGCACATAAGTGTGCTTCTGTCCTGGCTATCATGAAGACCCTCCATACTTCCAGCAAAGAAGCTTCTTCTGGCACTCAGAACCAGGTCTCCTATTCATTCAATCCCAAGGTGCTTGAGGCCATCAAAACTCTTGTCAAAGCTGAAGAGGAGCTCACCGACCATATTCAAGAAGTTCTTGATGCTCACAGTTGTGAAACACTGGAAGCTTCCCTTCCAACTTTCTTATCCACTCATGTAAGCATTTCCACAACTGTCAGGGCACTGCTTGTTACCACCCCTGGCCACCCATTTTGCCCTAGGAGCAATGAAACAACAAGCCCCTGGAACTTCCTGTGCTGGTAACTGCCTTATGACAATGGCAGTGGCCATACAAGACATTGTGCAGAGGACACCACAAGACTGCTGTGTCCAGACACTTGGGGTGAGACATAGTGGTGCTAAAGGCCCCTACTGGGAGTAGTGGGATGCAAGATGACACCTGTAGGAGTCTCCACAATTTATTGGAAAGGTTTGGGAGGCCTAGGGGTGTTGCTAGGACATCTATCTGACACTTGTAGGAGTCCCCAGAATTTACCTGGACTCCTGGGCTTCTGGTGAACACCTACAAGGTATATAAACAGTAGTACAGTGATGCTGTATCCCTCAGATTTGATCTCTGAGGAAACTCCTTAGTCTACAAGCAGTTGCTAAGTCATCTCATTGTCTTGAACCCCCTTCTACACACACCTGAACACCCTGCTCTCAGAAACCTGCCTTGACTCCACAACTCTTGCTACACTTTTCAGCTATCTATAACCGACTGATAACACCCCCTGGGACCCCCCAGTGACCCCCTTGGACCCCCCCAATAATCCAGCTGGCCCTGGTGATGTGGATATTGACTAGTACTGCTGGTTAGAGCTGCTTTCAACCACAGTAGACCCCCCAGCACTTCATCTATTGTTTGGGATTAGTGTGTGGCAATCTTGCTAGACCTAGTGCCCTCACAACAACACAGTCCTCATTCCGTAGTGCTGAACCTTCATTCACAGGAGTTTTTTGAACAGTGGTATTCACATACCCTGAAATCTGACCATGGCAGTCTTGACCTCTTCATTTGCTATGTTGGCCACATATACTCTGAGGCTTTCCCTGATGCATTCCTGACCTCTCCTTTGACTTATCACTGCAACTTTCCTCCTCTGAGCCATGTCAAAGAAGATGAATTCACCCACCTAATCTCAATGTTGCATGTCTCTTATCATACACACATCCTCAACTCCAAGGAAGCTCAGGACCTCATCAATGACCTTGAACGCTGTCTTCCCATTCCCATTATCCACCCACTCAACATAGTCAATGCAGTACATGGTGTAAATGACCGGTGCAAGTGGATGGTATGTCTTAAAATTTAAATTTTTGATAAAAGGATTGTTTTGTTATGTTAAGTCTCTGAAGTTCCCAATTCCACCAATTTTCTTCTCCTCATCTTCATTACAGTCTACCTACTTTCACTTGATTCACCAGGGGAAAATACCCACATGGCTACAAATGCATGGGCCCCTTGCTTGCAATCTCATCAATCTATGGACCTGGAAGCTTGAATTTTCTTGGCACGTTGACATCAAGTACCTTGAGGAAGTTGATGAGTCATTTGGTCCAGACTGGACTCTGACTGAAGTACTGCACCAATGCAAGTCTGGCAGCCTTGGTACCATAGTTGAAAGGTACCAAGATAATGTAAACTCCACTAAATATATAGACATGCTCTGCAAGGTCACACCCTTTTCCCCTGAACCTGATGACCATCCTCATCAGTTTGCTAACTGGATAGCCAAGATTCAGGCCTATTTTGTCAGTCTTCTCATTGCACATTTTTCCCTAATTTATCTGACCTCTATTCTAGGTCGATCCTCTACTCCATTGCCAGCTTTTCAATTCCCCCTTCACTCCCCTCTTCACCCTGCTTCTGCATGATGTCCTCAGGCATGCTGCTACAGCTCATCTCCAATATAATCTCAAAGAATGGCCATTCACCTTGGAAGGCCTACCACACTTCATTATTGAATCCATCAAGGATTTCATGACCAATGGTTCTTTCAATGTGTGTCCATTCCTCATGGATAAAATACTGGAAGATCTTGAATCTGCTGGCTGACCATCCTCCCAGGAAGAAATCTATGAAGGCATTATCTTGCTCTCCTGACATGTTGCTAGGCCTGATCCTGAGCAAGAACCTCTTCTCAATCTCTATCATGAGAGTGCTGTGGTCCTCTCCACTTGACATCAAATTGGCAATATCAATACCAACATTCTCTGCTGCCTGCCTCTGAGTGTAGACATCAACTTTATTCCTGACCTTGAAGTCTGCCGGTCTGCACATGTGGTTAGGGTCAAAGGCCTCTTCCCATTTCCTTTCTGGGTCCATTCTCCATCTTCTTTCCATGATACCTTACTCATGAATCGCAGATCTATTTTGGATGTGATATGTGCTATGAGTGTCAGCACCGATCTATGCCTTGTAGAGGGCTAGAATGCTGCTGTTACAGATGGGAAGGCACTGCTTGCATAGAATGTTGAAAGAAAGGGTTGTCTCACCCATGCCTCAGATGCAAGCATGGTTACAAGAACAGTGAGTATCTATTTCCCCACTCTCACAGTCTCAATAACCTTGTCCTATAGTTTCTTTCTGAGATTGGCAGTGGCCCAGGGAGGACATTCCCAGTCACATTCAGGATCAATGGCTGGACAAGGCTCTGGATGCAGCTTGGTATTCCTATCAGTTGTCTGATGACAAGGAACCTGAAGAGACATGGCAGGACCTCTTTGACAACTTCTGGCTTGACATGCAAGCACTAGAGAAATCAGATCAAAAGGACGTGATGCACCCTGAGGACAGTCACCATGAAGACAGTCACAAAGAAGAGATATCAACTATTGATGCTGGGATCAGGCAGGAAACGGCAAAGCCAAAGCCAAAGCCAAAGCAAACTGCCAGGGGCAAGGCCAATGCCAAACAAGGGGACAGCAAAAGGCAATACAAGGAGTAAATTAGTACCCCTTAATACTGTAGAATAATCCACTGCTACAATTTTCACAATAGAAATGCACCATGCCTCTCTTCCAACCAGCCTCCTGTTTTCCCCCCTTGTACAGTATCAATGATTAGGTTCAGTCAAGTCCACCTGTAGGAGGTCCTCCAGATCCTGCATGACTGTATTTCCAGGCTCCTCAATTCCTTGGAGGGCATCATAGTATCCACCTCCCAGAACACATGCACCATCATCCTTGTCTGTTTTGTCATCCACTTCATGTGGGCACAAATCCATGTACTTGTTTGACATTTGCAGTTCCTCTTCTGCCCTAGCAGAAGCAAAGGCAATGAGAGCATTGCACTCTGTACACATCCTTCCAGCAGTTCTTAATATATTGTCCAAAAGTTTCCCATGGTCACTTTTGGTGCACCCAAAGCTGACTCTCTTTTCAGGCACACTTTTCTTCACCAATATATGCTTACTTACCTTGGTACAGCCTGTCCATCTCCAAATGAAAATGCTCTGGCACAAGCTCAAATACCAGATGACTTGCTGGTGCATATTTTGTTTCAGTCAATGATAAGTCTTCAGGAGTGACTGCTACCTTATATTCCATCAACATTTATCATTGCTTTTGACCAAGGGACCTACTTTGAAAGAGTATGCATTGTCATACTGCTCAGGGTGATAGAAGATATGTTGAGGTATCCCCTGTGGTAGCAGTTTTTTTTGTCCTTGTGCAGCTTGCTGATATTGTGCATTTCAACATATTCATCCAGTTTCTTTGAATCCATGGAATGGCTAGCCAATGGAATACATTGCTTCCCATGGTCAGCTACTGCCCCCAATGCAATTCCCTCTGCTGTACTCACTTTTGCATGAAATCATGATGGTCATACACCTTCGCATGGACACCTGCATCAAATAGATTCTGATACCCTTGAGTGAACTCGCAATGGAGCTGGCTCCATTTGATTTCAGGCTTAATGTTGCTGTGGCCACATTTCCATCTATGCTGAAGTTTCCCTATGAGTGTCAGATCAAGTCATTGCCACAGAAACATATGCCCATTTGCAATCCCATTGTTTTCACTGCCTGGGTCACTTTGTGTCAGTAAGGGGATTCCTACCCACACCAGCATGAGTTCCTCAATGTTCCCAGAACAGAAGCACATGATTCACCCCCATGAAAGCAAGCCATCTCCAAGTAATAGCTGAAAATGAGCCTGGGGTTGGAATTTGTCCACCAAACTTTCAACCAAAGTATGGAGCCTGAGAAGGGCTCCATTCTGAGGTGCAGATACAACCTGAAACACTGCCATTTATTGTGCTGATCAATGGTCATGAGCTCAAAGACCCCAGTCATCTTGAATTGTTTCCTGATCCAATGCTTCCCATGCTGGCAGCAAACTCCTCTGCATGATATTCCCTATTATAACTGCGGACAAGATCCCTGTGACAGCCGGCATCAGCATTCATACTCCATAGGCAGTCAACCATGATGCTTGCCTGGGTGCCAAGATTCCCTGCTGCCTGAGCCAGTTGCAGGTGTGCTTCACACCAGGCTCATGAATTGCATCCCTCACCTCTTCAATGTGTGGTCCAATTGAGTCCATCATGTGATGCTGCTGCCAAATGCTCATGAGGCCCATTTTCTGCTGCTGCTGAAATACTGTCTTAGCCCTATGAGTCCAACCTCAGTAACCCGGTAACTTGGATCAATGCAATACAGACCCTAGTCCCCATCCCTTAGCAGTTGCATCCACATCCTGCTTGATGGAAATGGCAATTTCCAAGTCACCCATCCCATGACCCCAGTACCCCCATATACAGGGAAGCAGTTCTGCATCAGGGACTGCCACAGGCCCACTTTTCAGATCATTTCTCCAAAGTGGTTTGTCAATAAGGCTCACCTATAGGTAGATGCTGATTAGTGCTTGCAGACATCTTGTTTGTGTAACAGGCTACAGGATGCCGCAAATATGACAGCCAATTCCCACAATTATTAAGATTGGAAACAAAGCACTTGCTCCCACTTTTGATGGTTGCCAGACTTTTCTTTCCCCCTAGCATTGGTGATCTGATGGTTTCTTTCTCAGAATTTTCAGGCTGTGCTACATGGCCCTGTCTTTTCCAGCATGCTAATTGGCTGCCATCCTATCACAACAATCATGTGGCCCAGATCCACAACCTGGGCACCTTCTTCCCACTGCCCTTCCTGTCTTTCTGCTTTGCCTGCCTTCCTTGCCCTTGGCTAGGCATTGTAATTTCCAATGATCTGTCCTTGCCTACCTGAATGACACATGTACTCATGCCCCGAATAAATGTGTGTCCCTACGAGGAAGGACCTCTATCTAATTTCTCCTCCCTCTGACCTTTCTGACTACATCCTCCCCTTTCAACATGGCAGACACCTCTGCACCTGGCCGTATGTACATCCCTGAAGTGACACTGACATACCAAGCCACTGCACCATTGCAGTGTCACTGAGCTGTGTGCTGCCCTTCTAACCCTTCCCAAAATAGACTCATCCCCCCTGGAGAACTGTACCACAAATGGAGAAACAAAGGATCAGATAATCCTGTGGTCATCTGTCCACAATGCTGCATCTATTATGAAACAAAGCCTCCTACTGTTCTCCATTTCCAGCAACACACATATGCATCCCCAATTCCACCATCCCTCCAACCCAACCCAAATGTGATCTGTCAGATGAACAATGAAGCCAAAAAATGGGGTGAGTAGTAATAGTCAGATGTGTTTCATGGGCAAACACTTCCCAGGTTCTCAATCTTCAGTCCAGGCAATGTCTTCTGATGCCTGGCAGCCCCAGCCTCAGCCGCCCATGCACCCACTCCATTCCTTGCCTGAGCAACCAATTTTCTCTCCCCCAGCCTTGCATGGTTATATGCCCTCTCATCTCCAATATCCCATCAAGTTTGCAAGGTGCACCCATCAATCATATGCACCGGTGCAACTGGAAACCATTTTCATTAAATTTGCCATGCATTTCTATTCTGATGGACAAAGGGGTTCCCAACAATTTGGTGTGAGTCTCTCTGATTCAAAAATCCAATTCACCCCCCTGAAAACAAGGACTAGCACCTAGATGACTGGGTAGAAGTCCCAGCTAAAGCTTCCTGGAAAGAAATCAAGGGGGCCTTGGTGAAAGCAATACAGCGTCCTTTTATGGAGGAGACCAAGGGCTTCATTTGCCGAAGTGAAGACTTCATACTCTGAGGAAAGGACAGCACCAATTATGAATGCTTCCATCTGTCTGCACCATTATTCTACCACTTATGTTTCTCCACTCCTTGCAAGGGAAAGGGCAACCCCTCCTTATACCCACCAAAGTTTCTGTCAGGAAAGTCTTTCAAAGTCCGGCTGATCATGCCAGAGGCTGTCCATGAACAAATCATCCTGCATATGGAGCAGGAGTGCAGCTGCATACTGTCTGGAGTTCCTTGTCATTTGGAGGAAAACCACATCTTTTCCCAGCCACCCCCATCAACTGAGATCTCTCCCCGTGAAACCAAAGTGATGCTTGAAGGAAGACACCCTGATAAATGGCAGAAAACAAGCCGCCCCAGCCTGGTCCAGCCCAAATTGATTGCAGGGACTGCAGTGAATGAGAGCCAACCTGCCCCACCCAGGAAGAGATATCTGCGGCCCTTTGTGTGAAGGCTTCACTGCTGGCAGAGCACATCATTTCCAGTATCCCCCCCTCTGTACATGCCAGTGATTTCTCTCTGAATTATTATGTTATACAGACACATTTTGGGATGTGGGTTTGTTCATTCCTGCTCCTGCCTTTGAATTTGGCACTCTCATATGTCACAGGTTCTCTTTTTTGGCAGATTGGACTGCGCTTGGCTGCAGTGGAGATATCTCAGTGAATGAGTGGCCTGGCTCTTGTCTTGGTGGACCAGGGACTTTCAAAACCTGTCATCCTGGCAGCCTGCTCCTCCACAAATCCATTCAAGAAAGACCCCATTGCCAGGGGCATGTATTCAAGCAAACACATTGAACACCTGTTACATTGAAGTGTTGCTACACAAGACAGAACAATGTGGAGGGAGAGCCTGGGGGGTCCAGCTTCAAGAACTTTGTACAAATGGGGAAAGGGAAAGAAGTCCAGGTTTTGGCTGGAGAAATTGAATGCATCATATGGGCTGATTCCCTACTTGGCTTGGTATACAAGCACTTGGAGGCTGTCCAAGCTCGATCCCCCCTGGATGCAGTGATCAACCAAATTAAAATTCCCCAGGTTTGGTTTGTCAAGTGTGGCCTTTTTTGAGTCACTGCACCCCTGCCCAAGGATAAACAGAAAAGCAGAAATGGAACATCCTACCTTATTGAAGAACTCATCAATCCTGAGGGTGGTACTTTTGTCAAATATATACACAGTGCCAGTGCTATTCCTTGAATAAGCGAACGTGACATTGCATCATTTCTATCATTTTGCCAACACCTTCAGTATGAACTCACTGGTCACCTGATGTTCACTAGTGACTTTCAAGGTAATGCAGAATACATGGTGCACAATGCTTTGCTCAACAGATGAACAGGTACAGATGGTCTCCTTACTGATCCCCAAATCATGACAAATATGTATGTTTTGTGCAAATGATTTCCTCCTGTCCTCATGTTGATCAGGGAATTCCCATTGCATTTGTTCAGAGAAAGCAATGTTGGAGCTGCCTCCTCCACATTCGAGGCCAAACATGTCTGTTCAAGATACTGCCTTGCCTATGGTCTCCAGTCATTCCACTCAGCAGTTCTGCCCCAGACTTCTAGCACACAAAAGTTGACACACCACCAGGAGTGAATGATCTGTGCAGAAAACAATGAGTAGGTTTCTGTCAGGGCACCAGCTCATTGCTTGGTCAAGAGACATGACTAAGCCTTTATGACATGGAAGTAGCTGGTATACCTTGGCATGTGCTGGAACCTGCTGGAAGGATTGGATGGTCAGGTGACCTGCTGTGCATGGCTGTGCATGACCTCATATGACCTCATCCTTTGGTCATATGACCTGATCACCT